TCAAGACAGATTGGAGTATTCAAACTCATAGTTTGAAATAATAAGTCCAGGTTTACTCAGGACGTTTTAAGAAATACTTAAATAAACTTGAGAAGTATATAACATTTATACTTTGGAAAAAATAACATTGGTGCCTGCTAGGTTTCGAATCTAGGTGGCCTTCTCGGCCACCACGACATCACATCCATAGAATGTCACATAGAAATAATATATTAATAAGTGTATTAATATAATATATTTAATATAAATTCTATTAATAAGTGTATTAATAGAATTTGGTAGCATAACATACCATTATGATTCAGTTCTTTAAGGGCTGTCTGTTGTCTCGACTGCTGGCTCGTGGATGGTACTGGCTGTACGTCAAGTAGAAGATCTGTAAGATAAATTGTGGTTTGAAATTATTAAGTTTCGATGTGCTAATTATTCAAATATGAGTATTAATTTTGAATAATAGAAGTATCTTAATTTTCTATACAATTAAGTGCAATAAACATTTTTGATGACGCTTCAGTCATATGGAGAATGGAAATAATCCCACATTTCATGCACCTCAGTTTAATAGTTCTCCTCAGATCATCTCGAAAGGTTTATACAAGGGAATAAGAGATATTTGTCTAATGAGGTATTAAATTACATACCAGACTCCACTATCTAAATATTTTCGATCTGTTCAGTAGCTGGTGGAATTTCTAAAGCAAAATAAAGCTGTTTTGGTTACTTATTTTTGAAAAATATTAATAACAAAATTATATATAAGTAAATAAAAAAAAATGAGTAGCCTGACGAAGACACAGTGCAGAATGTCTTGAGTATCAAAATTATTTCCTGAGTGCTTAAGATTTTTTCTTAATTTTGTTATGAATCCTAAATGAGAAATTGTACCTGTTTTTAATAACTGTATAACATGGCTTAGAATATACCGTTTATCAATATGCGAAAATATGGAAGTAAAATTTACACAATTCATCTTTCATTTAGAATCCTACGAAAATTTATTACTTTTCTAAAAGTTTATAAAGGGTAATGGGTAATTTTGGACCCACCTTTCAATATAAATAAGATACTTCTCTATGGATACTTATTCTTTTGCAGGATAAAACTTAATTTTATGAATAAGGTTAAAAGTCTGTGATTTCGAAGACATAGTGCCTATTACATTTCCAAAAAAGTGATCCTGATCTAAGTAATCGTTGATCTTATTTGTATCTCCCTTATTTATGAAATAAACATTGCAAAACTCATTTTTTACTTTCCTACTTCTGCTCTACAACGCTACTACCTTCTACCAGTACATACTAGGAATGGAGTTTGTTAGTAAATTGCCACCCATCCAAAAACTAACCTCAAGCATATTTATTTATTTTATTTATTTATTAATTTATGTACACACATTCAACACAGAGGACAATACATAATAAAAACAGAGTACATAGGCCCCACATATTCCAACTGGAATTTCTTCCTGTGGGCCTGTGGCAGAAAAAGAAATAACAACACTGAGACACATAGTGTGTTACACAAACAATATAAAAATCAATTAATAAAAAAAAGTAATAAGACCGAAGAAACCAATAGAATTAACAATAATAAACAATAAAACAAATTAATATAATACAATTATAATACATACATAAAAAAATACAGAAAAACAAATCTATATTTCAAGAGGAAAGATAATGTTCTCTCACTTGTCTCTTAAAGATAGAGATAGACTTGGCGTCCCGAATGTTCGGCGGGAGCGAGTTCCATAGTCTCACTGCATGAACGGAGAAGGAGTAGGAGTAGAAGTCGGTATTAGGGGGCACAATTTTAAGATAGGATTTAAGATGAGAACGAGTAAGGACTTCAGGAGGGCGCACCAAGGAGAAACGGTCTCGAAGATAAGTAGGATAGGCTGTAGTATTTACATAGTTTAAACTCGGGGATCGACTCGTATACGTTATATTATTTTGCAATGAGCACCTCTGGTATTCTATTGGATTGTAGTATTAGGTAGAAATATCATCTACGAACATAATTAAATAATCTTCTCCAAAGTCTGGTTGAAAAATAGAGTAGATGCCTAATTTTTATTTTAATGTCCATTTCATTTGTTTAAATTCTTTTAAAACATTAGTCACGTATTTTACATAAAACATAATAATATTTTACATTCAATAAAAACATATATAATTATATTTATGTAAGTAAATAAGAATAGAAAAAAATATTATAATGAAATAAATACATATTACATACATAATGAGTTGATTGATATTTAAATAAAGAATATTAGAGCATCTGCTAAGTTCATTAATGTACAACAGTTAATAGATGTAAGTAGGTAAGTTAGAAGTATGCAGTTGAGATTAATCCAATAGTAATTCTAAGATTAGAATAATAATTTAAATTGTCAAAGTTATATTTAGTAAGAGATAAATTGTTTGAATATTAATGCATGCATGCGTCCTAGCTCGTGCTGTGCTCAATGGGGTCCATAATTTAATGTAATACCTTTATTTAGAATGTGGAAAAACAATAAAGATATTGAGTTTTGAATCATAAAGAATACTTAGACTTTAGGATGTTGTACCTCTGAAACCACAGACATTTTACCATAGGTATATTAGTAACTAATGTTTAATTTAGACTTTAGGATGTTGTACCTCTGAAATCACAGACATTTTACCATAGGTATATTAGTAACTAATGTTTAATTTTAAAAATCCTATCTGATGACATTTGACATGTTGATATTGAGAGCCCAGACTTCATACATTTGTTTCGCAAATCTGTCCTTTCCTAAAAAATTTATAAACTTACGGAATTTGGTATTTTCCGGTGATGTAAGTATACAAATGAATTACTGTTCTCGACTTCGTAAATGATTAAGCCAATGTTGGACTTGAAATATTCATAACACTTAAGAGAAGATTTGGATTGTTATAAAACAGAAAATTCACACAAAACAGAAGATTGACATAATATAATATTAATTGATGTATGCTAGCCAGATCAACTGGTTTATGGTAGAAATAAACTGTAGAATTTATTTATTCAATTTACCTTTTGATCCTGAATATTTAAACACATGCTGTGGAAATATCAGTGAGAAGTAAGACCGTCAAATTTAAAGTTGGGATTGCATTTCTTTTCAGACGATTGCCTTTTTTGTTGTAATCCTGTTTTCTAAAGTGGTTAGCACAAACACTTCGGTTCTCATGCAATTTTTCTATTGGTAGATGAACCAATTCTTCATTTCCAACTGCTTTTAGTAAGTCTCGGCAACTGAAACACAAAAAAATAATGTTTACTCTTAATAACTACCAAACTATGTAATAGCAAAATATATAAACATAAAAATTTGTATCATACTCTTACTACTTTATATTTATTTACAAAACTGTCTTATAGGTGGATAATAAACATTTAAAGAATTTTATTCCAATAAGGACATGCATTTAAATTTCACTTCTGTGTTCACGAGGATGCTAATAAACATTATTTACATGTAACACAAAAACTTCACTCGCTCGCTTAAAGAAATTTTACCCCAGCATTAGCAACATCTATAGTTGTGTGCGGTGTTCGAATATTAATGCACATTATTTCTTTTAGTCTTAAGTTAGAACTTTATTATTAAAAAATGGGGGTAACCTGTAATTGGTGACCGTATTAAACTGTAAAAACCAAAAACTGATTATTGCCTACATATGTTTTAATACAGAAGTATACAGAGGCTTAACGTTTATATTTAAAAAACAAATAAAATTGTTCTCCTTATAAGCAGGTAGTACCATAACTCGCAAAAGGTTAGTTCTTTTTATAATTGTGGAGTCATATTACAGTCATTAATGGGATTTTCGACAATACAATACAATAAGTTAGAAATGTAATAAATTTGACAGAAAATAATAGGTTAACCTGCTTGCGACCGTATATCTCTGTGTACCTTTACAGTGGGTAAAAGATTTGATGTTTTGTTTGATGTATCAATTCAAGTACTACAGTGATGATTGTAACATTAACGAATTAACGAAATTAAGTGATTGATAACCTAAATTCCAAACATTTAAAGTGTGATTTTCTCAACAACTCCATACATTATAATCTCGTAATATACTAAAAATTTCATTTCTGTCGGATGAACATTCAATTCGCATACCAAGGTGCTCATGGTCCTTTCATGTTTTAAAACTTTATTTGAGTTCAGCTAATCTTAATTGACGGTCCGAAAGTATCGTATAAGCGATGAATTGAATTATTAATTCACATTTCCATTAACAATGGGTAGTAAGTAGGTACACACCGATTTGGATCCAGATGAAAATGGGAAAAATGTAGTTTGTTAGCAGTAGGCCAAGATTCGTTCGTATGGCAAATTTCACAACGTCTGTGACCTTTGCCCATGATGATGTACAAGGTATTCACAAACACAAACTTAGAGTCACTGTCTCGGTAATAGGTAATAATAACAAATTAGTATAAAAGAGTCAAATATCTCACAAGAATCACTTACACTAACAGAGTCAATGTCTCAATAAAACCACGTGAAGATAAAACGGAGGAACAGTTGCTCGACTCAACGTTAAACACACAATAAAATAAATTATTCTATTAGGTTAAATTCCGAAATCACAAGGAAAAAGGAAAAAACAAACAGAATAATCACAACACAAAAATTTGCACAAAGACGGCAGCCATGTTGTGTCAATTATGGGAAGTACTAAGTACCAAGTTCGTTTTGTTGTGTTGGTACCTCAACGTTTTTCTGAATGTTGGTACACTGAATGTTACGGACTCCATACAAAATAATGTTTGTTCTAAGTTTCACAAGACTGTCAAAATGGACCGTTATTATTGTGCATTGTAGGAAACCAATGAATTCGAATTTGTTTCTTTTGTTTATTAGAATGCGCATATAAAAAGATTCTGTGTAAAGTGCTAACTAGGTATATTGCAGTGTAAAGTGGAGTGACCACCTTTTGTGTTTTGATAATTATTGAAAAAGCTTAAAAATGTCTGACAGTGATAGCGACACATCCAACAATGTTTTTACCTTCCAGAACACGAATACTGTAAGTAAAACTAAGATGATATCTTATTTCCTAGGCATATTACTTATTGCACAACTTGTAATTTCTATATAAATTGAAGCCACACGTTATTTTCTGATTTTATTTTATTTTTAATTTTTGTTACAGATTGTTAGCGCGAAGGGTCCAAACATTAACGTATCTAATTTCAGTTTTCGTAACCCAATGACTTCAACTATGTGTATGCCAAAAAACTTCGAAAGGTCGAGGTATGCCGAATCAGTTTGTGACCAAAGAAGTATGTACTACAGACGTGAAACTTCGCCAATGTCAATACGCAGTGCTTGTGATGTAAGGTCACGGAATTACCAGCAATATTATCCTACAGCAAGCTCCCAAAAGTCTATGTTTAGTGGAAGAGGTGGTTCTCCAATGTCTATGAGAAGTATTGGTAAGTTGATTTTGAATAATTTCTACTATTCAACTTAGTTTACTTTTTGAGAAAACTATTAAATGAATGTGACTGCAATATTTACAAGTACTAACATAATTAAAATATTATTTCAGATTCATCTGCAAGTGTGAGTGCAGCAGATATAGCTTTTGCATTCAAGAATGTGAAGTTTAATCGATATGATCTCAAAGTTATAAAGGATGCTTACCACAAACTAATGAAGCAAAGGGTTAGAAAAAGAATTGAGAAGAGAAGGAACATGAGGTTGTACCTTAAAGGCAGTAGGAGAAGATCAGGTTATGACTCTGGAGAGCTAGGAAGCAACTCCTCAATCAGCAGTGATGACTGTAGGTCTGTTAAGACCTCTTATAAAGAAAACATGTCCAGCAATGCATCAACAAGGATGAATTTGACTGATTTCAGAAGGACTGTCAATGACAACACATTCAAAGATTGTTCTGAAAGTCTAAAACAGAGTGTGTTTAAAAATAAGTTTCCCATTGGAATCAATAGTGCAAACACTACTAGAAATTTTAATAGCTCAGTGATGCCTTCAAACAATTTACAAAGCAATCCTTTTACTTCTCAAAAAGACAGATTCAAAAATGGTTTTTTATTGCCATCTCAGAGATTTAACAAGTCAGTAGCTTCATCAGTAATAATGGAGAACTCTGAAAAGTGTTATAAAACTACAGCAAATAACCCAAGAAACCATAATGCTCAAAATAGAAACAATTGTGTAAGTGGTAGTGAAGAAGAAGAAATATTTTCAGAAGTGACTGTTAGAGAGAAGAGTCCATGTAATATTGAACCTCAGCGTAAAAGGAGCCTAGATAGCGAGGATGAATGTCTTCCCCGAAAAAAGAAAAGCAGAGTTTTATCACCAGTTAAGAATGATCCAATTAATAGAAGAACTCCAACTAAACTAAAGGATCAACCAAAAAATGTTGCATTATCAAATAGCTTTGAATTTGCCAAACCTTCTTTGCCAGTCAGGAAATCAAAGCCGAAAGTACAAGAAAAGCTCATAGCTAAATCAGCACAACCTTTGACAGACTTCTTGGAACCAATACTTGATAAAATACAACAGCCTGTTCAAACAGTACAAGACACACAGCCCGAAGTCTCCCAAGAGAAATCCACTGAAAATTTGTCTCAACTTGATCAATCTGAAGCAACACAAAGTGACATGTCTTCACGGCCAAGCTTTATTAAAAGAAAACTATTCACACAGACACTGGATGTTGCAGAGAAAGCTAATGTGAGCAGTGACAGTACAAACAGCCCACAAAGTGGGGTTTATCTTCTACAGAAGGAAAAAAACAAAGCTAGAAAGGTGGTGTCCAACCAGTCATGTCTAAATAGAGAAGTTCAAGATGACAGTAATCTGTTAGATTTAATTCATAAGATAGTACCTCGTGACCGTATGAACTTGGTGACTCCAAGTGACAAAATTGTTGATAAAACTGTAGATAAAACGCTCATGCCTAAAGATTGTAGAATTTTGGTGGAAAAGATGCAACCTAATGATGTAGCGCAGCAGCAAGTTGCGAATAAAGATGTCAACCTAACATGTAACAGTGAGTATAAATAAATTCTTGTGTGATATAAACAAAAACTTAACATACTTAATAACTGGATAACCATGCTTTTACTTAATTACAGGTGTCACAGTGAGCAGTGTTAAGAATTCAGCGAAGACATTTTGGGATACCGACTTTGAAAGTGATGCAGAATGCCAGACTATACTACCAAGAATCAATACACTTGATAGCTCCAAGAAAGGTATACAAATGTTTTGTATATTTTACTTTGTTATTCCATGATTAACATCATTCAAGTTTAATTTCTAAAACCACAATATTTTCTTGTTTCAGCAAATACGACATTGGGAGTAACAACTACTTTCAAAAAGCCAACTGGTTATGCAAACATGCAAATGTTAAAAAAATCACAACAAAATCTTGACAAGACGAAACAATCAAATAATGTTACCATGAATAGCACTACGATGAATAATACTGTGGATAGCAGCATGCGTAAATTTAATGCCAGTACCCTGAGCATCCGATCACATCGTATGACTAAAAAACCTAACTGCTGCAATCAAACCTGTGTTAGTGAAAACAATCTAAAAGTAAACAATCATAACAAAATTACTGTAGAAAATAAAAAAGATAAGTCTAAAAAGCAAGAAGATGGACCTGTACAAAAGATTAAGGCAAAAGAAAATAAACTAACTAATAATCTAACTGTTGTCCCTAAAGCAAAACCAACTAAAAATGATAAACCCAATAAAGCCAAATCTACGACAAAAATAAACACAAGTGCTAATGAAAAATCTTCAAACAATAACAAGCAAGCTGTTAGTCCAAATAAAAATAAGCAAGTTAGCAGTCCAAACAAAAATTCCAAAAAGTCTGATATAAAATCAAAAACAGCCAAATCAAGCATAAACAATAAAAAAAAATCTGAACAACCAAATAATAAAATTGCAAATGGAAAACAAATAGACACTCCACAAGTGAAGAACAATTCTAAATCAAAACCACAAAATGATATGCAGAAAAATAAAAACGACAGCCCTAAAGCTAAATCCAAATCAAAAGACAGCCTTACAACCAATGGAGTTCCACCTAAATCCAATAATAACAATACTGTTATACAAAATACATCTTTGACTGGACGACCATGGAGGTCATGTCGTACACCAAGCCAAAGCAGGTCTATAGAACTTTCTAGATCCACGCAACTGGACACCTCCATCGAAAATAACAAAAGTCTTCGTTCGAGAGTAATTAATTTGTCCTCTTCTATCGAAAACATTACTATAAACATCAAGGCTAGGAAGAAAACAATGAACAATAATAAAAATATTTCACAAATAAATACAAGAAAGAGTGATGTATCATTCTCGTTGGGGACCGGGACACCGACACCAAAAAAAAGTTTCGCGCGAACTAAAGCCAATTTTAACAGAAGCAAAAGAAGAACTTAGAATTTAGTTGATTTATTTGTAATTGCAATTTGTTAAATTATGTATAATTTCATTTAATTAAAGTTCATGATTTTAAGCCTTTTACTGGCATAGAAGGTAAAATAATAATAATTGAAGTGAAAAATTTATATTTCAATTATGAGTTTGAATTGAAATTATGTAAAATCCACAAGATTAAGGGATTTTGATTTCACTCTTTATAGACTATGAGTTGTCAGCACCAGAAGTGTTATTATTTAAAGCTAAAGAGTTTGTGACTTGAGACTATGGGTTCGATTAGAAAAAATAGTTTTTGTGTTGTTTTTCAAACTGGACCAGTAGTTCTTGAGATTAGCGCATTTAAACAAACAAATAAACTCTTCAGCTTTATATGTATAATAGTATCAGATAATACTTGATTTTGTAATTAATACAAACTTGGGATTTTTGTTTTACGAAAAATCTACAGCAGAGTCATCTGCTGGGTGATATTGCAACTTTAGTACAAAGAATATTATTATGATTTCATAATGCCATTGACTAACTTTACAATTTTATTGTTTTAATTATTAAATTATTGATACTATTGAGTTTGATGTACCAGCATTTCAAATAATGTGCCTTGATTAAACTTAAAAAAAGTATGCAGACAATAATTGAGTACCTACATTAGTAAATTTGTGTAAGTTTATTGTAGAAACTTATATTTGTAAATAGAAATAGAGTGGACACTAATGAATTATGTATGAATGATATGATTTTAATTTATAAGATTTAAAATAAATACCTCCAAATATACTTTTCGTTGTTTTGTTTTGACGCATTTATTAAACTTTTTTTAATGGACTTCCCACGACGGGGGCGTGTGCCGGACTTTTACCGGCTAAAATCACCGCGGTGTTCATCCTCTGCCTGTGGCCGTGACCCGGGACGCCCTTGCGGATTCACCGCACCTGGCAGGCCTCGACCTACCACTAAATTGTGGCAGGTCCCACCACGTAGCAGCCCTCAAAAGCTGCGATATCCTCACTCTAGTGGCGCAACGAACACACCGCTAACGCCTACTCTTGCCCAAACTGCGGACGACTGACTAATCCGTCGCCCGCAGGTCTCTCCCAAAGAGTATAATAAGTATTTTTTTTTTAAGGGGGGAAAATCATCGAATGACTGCTCCAGCCTGGGTGAGGCGGAAGGGAGTGTCAGACTTTTACTGACTAAAAACCACCCCTTTCCTTCTCCTGCACGTCGAGCCGGAGCCCCGGTTACCCGTTAGGTTCTCCGCGACGAGTATAATAAGTATAGGGGATGTCTCTCCTATGGAGGTCGCAGATCAGCTACCATCTCGGGGCGTTGACGGCCAGCGCGTCTACGGCGGGAAGGGAGAGAGCGGGACGCCAACCTATCCCTTTCAGCCGCCTCCTTTGCAAACATGACACGTTCATAGAAGGAAGCGAGTCCAATTTATTAAGTACTAGCTTTTACCCGCGGCTTCGCACGCATCACAAAAAGATAAAAAGCCTATGTGACATATGCTAATACACACAGCGCCATCTATACCAATAATTTCGTTTTCCCTCGAGAATACCAATTTTTCTGGGATTAAAAGTATCCTATTATTTAATCCAGACTTCTAACTTTACGTCTGCAAAAGTTCAAAGCAATTGGTTCAGTAGTTACGGCGTTAAAGCGGAACAAACAAACAAACTCACTTTCCGATTTATAATATTGGTAAGGATTACCCATAGATTTAGTTTATAGTAGGTCTGTGGGATTACCTAATAACTTCGTCTTGTTTCAACGAGTGCAGGAGCGCTCAAAGCATTGTAGCAATTCCTAACATTTGGTAGCAATTAATATTTTTTAACAATAATGTGGAAGTGCTTTTAAATTCAGATAAATGCATTTTTTGAGTGTTTTAAGGAACTGAAGGTTACGGAAATCGGAACCAAGTCGGGAAGTAAATTACAGTCAGCCCAGTTTTTTGATATGCTGGTAAGAAAATGCCAAATTGACTCCATTTAAAAATTATTGCAAAAGATATTGCCTCCCATATGGGAGGCAATATCTTTTTTGGCACAATTTAATTTTTGTACTTAACTGTAACTAGGCTGACTGTACATGCGTAAAGTAAACAAAATTTTAATAAAGTTATTATTTTATTCGATAAGACATTCACAATCTGAAAACCAGAGGCAATTAATAATCTGCTGTTAAGGCAATTTATGAATGCTAAAGTAAATAAATTAATTATCTATTTATCTTAACCAGCGAATAACATCTTTTTGCGCCAACAAGTCGTTAGTATCTTCGACGCGTCTAAAGAATGTAATAATCTACTAAATAAAAATATGTTGAATTATAATGTATTAATTAGTACACCTCTTAAAGTTAGTTATAATAGTGCAAAATTCAAAGTTTAAGTCTTGTATTTTGATTAACCTAAATAATGGTCATGTAAATATCACACTACCTGGAACCAATTAGCGATTACCCATTTTAACCACATAACGGTAATCACAAGTTAAATTTTGTTAGTTATTTTCAGATCTAATTATTATTCACTTGTTACTAAAACGGTTTAAAAATGGTATAATTTAGAACCGAATATCATAATTTTATTTAACTGCGTCATTACTATAACAGAATTAAACAATTAACAGTAAATCTCTTCCAATAATTTAACAACCTATTAAATGCACATTTATATAGGCACCAGTGGCCCAAAATGAAGACAGCTTTCATAAATTCCACAGTCAAACTTCATCGCATCTATGTAGCTTTATAATAATTACTCAATTAGCAGGATATGGAGAGCATAAAGAATTGAGAAATAATATCTGTCAAGAAACTACGCTCCCATGAGAAGGAATGCACTTAGTTATGACACAGCCATGTGAATTTGTATAAAATAATAATTACAGTGTGCATATGACAATTTTTGATCAATAAAGTTTTTTCCTGTTTCACATCTACATCGTCCAATGGGCTGTCCATTGCCTGATGTAGATCTGAAACAGGAAAAGATGCGAATGCGCATCAAGTACTTTTATAAATAGTCAAAAGGCCAATACACACAGAGAACAGCTAAATATTATTTAACTAATCTTCAGAAACAATAACCTACAATGTAACATTGCATGTTTATGTTTACAACAACTAGTTGTAATAAATGTGTAACAAGCCTTATAACTGTAAAATTTTATTATTATACATTTTACATCTAATGTGCAGGTATTTGTAAACATTAGCTACATTAAGCCATTTTAGGGCCACTGTTTCCAAACATTTAACCTACATGATTCAATATACGACTCATTGGCTGTGAAATACTAAGCACTCGATACTGTCGATGATTGTAAAGCGAGATAATTTCGATTTGATATATGTAATATACAAAGAGCACTATGATACGCGTAAATACATTGATATTCAATATTCGTCTTCCTCCGGCGGGTGTGGGTTGTCGCCGTCTATTTCCTCTGGAGGCGCGAATCCGTCCTGTGAAAGGAAAATTGTGATTAATGATAATTATGTTCACTCGACTCACAACTCTTACTTCATGTTTAGTGTGTCATGTTTCCAATGAATAGTGTTGAGCTCAGTTGTTGATAATTCAGCTCTGACTAATACAACAGCATAAGATTGTTTTTATTATGATAAGATATTGTATGTATTGTTGTTTCTGGTTGTTATGATGAAATTGAATGAAGAAAAATAGATGTACCTCAGTTGCATATAAGATATCCAAAATCTTCTGAACAATTGGAGCATTCTGCTGTTCTTCCATTTCTTGACAGATCACCTCTATATCCCGGAGCTTACCAAAATAGAAGTCCCTCTCTTTCTCGAGGCCGTCAACTGTTGCTTTCAATTCATTTATCTGTGGACAGTATTCATAGTTGAGTTAAAATATTGTTCTGATTAGATTCTTCTAATATTTAAATTGATTACTAAACTTTTTCAAATTACCTGAAGATTTAATTCGTCAATAACTTTCGAGTCTCCCTTAGCACTTTGATTTATTCTGGCTAAATTAACTGGTGGAGATCTTACTGTGCTGTTTGCTTTGCCAACTGTAAAACATTAGAATATGTTAGTTATATGAAATCTAAGAAAAAATCATTAAATCATATTTAATAATTAATATCAATTTGACTGACTTTGACAAAACTATAAAGCAATTAAAATTCCATACATATAAATAAGCAAAATACCAACAAGGAAAATATACATATCTTCCTGTACTGACATGAACAACAACAAAATAATTACAAATAAGAATAGACATAACACAAATTAATATAAATAATATAACTGGGTGCAAGTATGATTCCTAAATAAATAAAAAATGGGATATGATAAATGAGAACATGCTGAGTAAATAAGAATAATAATGGTAAAATGTGCAAGTTATTATATTGTACAAGTGCCAGCTGAAATACGTCAAATATTTTATTTATTTTTACTTCTCATTTCATACACTAAATAATTTATAAATGTCGATATCGCCATACAATAGAAATACGTTATAAATATAAAATGAAATTACGGGCGCAAAATATTATTTACTTAGATATGGCAATGGTTCTGTTAATGTTTATATTTATATAAATAAACTACAGATACTGGTTATCATTGTCTTGTTTGCGATCTTTTATCAATGCAACTCAATATAAAAGCAAAGTTAACAACAAAAATCAATGTTTATAAAGAAAAGAAAATAGTACTGGATTGGGGTCTAGCTGCGACTTTGGCGACAGGCGCCGTCGGTTTCTTGGCAACTGCTGCCGCGGCCCGAGGGGCTGAGGCACCCCCGTGCCCCATAGGCAGACCCTCGCGTTGCGCCACCGCGTCATATTCCGTGCCTCCATAGTTGGCATCAAAGAATTTCTTGAACCATTGCAAAAATTCAAAATTGTCTTGGAAACGACCCTTCACCAGTCTGTCAATGGGTACTATCTACAAAAGAAAAAGTGAAGGTAAAAAATAAAAAGAATCACAATGCTACAAAAAGTGCCGCTACCTGCCTACAACAGACTATTACTAAATAAGGTGTGTACAGATGAGCACACATAGCAACACCACAGCGACATCACAATGTAGAGTACAGAAACAAGTCACACAAGTGTTGCTATGAGTAACTGATGAGTGGGGTGCATTATTGTATTCGGCTGATGCATACTGCCGGAATGGTGCATAGGAGCTGGGCGGCGGGCAGCCCTGGGTGGCGGTGGCACCTGCACTGCCCCACATAACGGCACTCCTGATTCACAAGCCCCCGACCCGATAGTGATGCCACCACGTGCCTCAAAAGCATCATATTCCCTCCCGTCATAATTGGCATCAAAAAACTTTTTAAACCACTGTAAAAACTCAAAATTGTCTTGGAATCTCCCTTTTATCAGCTTGTCCACTGGTATTACCTATAAAGCATATTATTGGTGTGTGGTCAATTGTAAAACAACAGGTTGTAATATCATTTCTCAAGTTTCAAGGCATTCACATGAAGACTAATATGATCTCAGGGCAAGATCTCATTATTATCTAAAATTCTTATAACATTCCAATAATGCTATCAGTGAATTTAAGTATACAAGTGTGCAAACACACAATGTGTTCAAAGTGCTTCTTGAAGCTTGGTATAGTTTAAGAGAAAATAATTTTGAATACAAAACAAAATTAACAACACTTAGCCAAAAAAATTACTGTATAGTGTATCTTTATTAATTAGCCTGTAACTAATTAAAGCATAACATTGAAGACTATAGTTACCTTATCAACACCCATTTTTTTGAAACCAGCTTGTAGTATTTTGAAGTTTTGTATGTATTCATGTTCTAAATTTGTTTTGAACTTAATTCTTTTCATGGGCACACTGTTCGGGAACAACATGTCCATGAACTGGCAGTAAGCGGCGCCTGTGCAAAGTTCCTCAATCTTGGCGAAATTCGACTGCAGGCAGTCGTTCACCCACGCCAACATATCATGTCGTGACAAATTCTCAGAAGTCACGTTCGTTGAATAAACGTTCACTGCCATCTTCACTACTCCAATACTTTCGTCTAAAAGTTAAATTAATCAAAACATTAAAAGAGTGCCCTAAGACCGGCTTAAAATCGACAGCAATGCGTTTCTGAAAAAAGAAAGCCGATCTAAAAATAGGTCGTGGTATATCCGTGACGATTTCCCAACAAATTACCCAAAGTTGTATCAAACCACTTAGAAAACACCTGTCTGAATATTTCTTGAATGTTTTGAACTTCAATTATAGCAAAATAACAGTAAACGTCCGCTACAACGGATGTGGTGATAATAATATGACAGGGGACAAGACGACTCATCAAAAATCTGTAGCGCCGCATGATGAAAGTTCGGCACACCCTGTTCGACTACAATAATATAATTACGTAAATTACCTTTGATTAACGAAGTCCAAGGTTTAAATCTTCTTTAATTTGTCCTATTTGAACAAGCAAAGCAACCAAAAACGTTAGATTTTTGTCCAAAAACGCTTCGCCGTGTTCTTTCCGTGTTAAACATAGACAAAGTATCATAGACTACACAAGCATTTTTATTATCAAGATATTCTCTTTGCTTTGGTTGAATGATTGCCTATTTTCCTCTATTGTACAAATTAGCTTTTTTCTGTGTGTAATCGAATCGATTACAAAATCGCAATTTAATCAAAATTTGCTGACTGCATACGTAAACTTAACTTACCCAACGGGGCCTCAGCTTTAGCCCTCGGCGTTTGTGTTGCGTCCGCGGATACTTCTTACTTTAATTTTTATTTTTTACTTTAATAAATAGATAGGCATTTGGGCATTAGTAACAAAAATGCCCCAATCTAACAATAGTAGTTGCTTTTCAGCTTCTATTGCATTTTATTCGTGCATGTGATTATTTAATCGAGTTATGCATGCAGTACCGAAGCTTTTATGAAGACGTTTGATCAAGAATATATTTTAGTTTATGTAATTTCTGTTTGTGTAACATCATAGTTACTTCCTTGTTATCTCTTTGAAGGGATGGATAGGGCGGGAATTATTCTACACGTAGATAAATAATCCCCATACGTCCTAAAATTCTACCTTTTACAAACTATATTATTCTGTTTAAGATCTCAAATATCTGTATCATGCTTTCGAGAGCCGAAGTCAAAAGTATCAATCACAGATACCCAATAAAACTGGCTGTGGCAGAGGCGGATTTAACCTAGATCCAAAATTTTTCGTGGCACCAGCACCACTTTATGCTAATCTCGCGGCGCTTATTGGTATTGTTACCTGGCGCCGCGGGCACTTGCCTAGTTTACCTTCGGGATAATACAGTCTAGTCTGCGATTAGTTCTGATTAGACTCAGTTCGGTTGGGCAAATAACCGGCTTGTCACATACTAAATTAATCTTACAAATTATACGACTAACTTTAAAGTAATAAAGGTCAATGACAGGAATGTCAGACAAGAGACAGATAGACAGACAAGTCTTATCTTCTTCGCCAAGAAGAATCAAAGTCTAATTAACAAAAAAGGCATATATACGGTCGATTTGGGAACCTCCTCCTTTTTTTGAAGTCGGTTAAATAGTTCGTATTTAGGTAAAAATACGTCCACATAAGTCGTATACTCAAAATTCAAATATGCAATACTCACAAAAAATTAAATAAATATACAAAAAGTGGAATTACCTGATTTCTGTGTTTATTTATCCGGATTTGTATTGTTGGCAACATTACAAAGAATGTCGTATGTCAATGTCATTCTTGTATAACATGACTTTGACGTTTGCCCCGACCCCCGCGAAATGAGTTGCGAATGTTTATTTTTGTAGATATATTATGCAAGGAAAATACAACATTACAACTATGACTTCACTAATCATAAGTTAGTCGTGAGATGATAATGTGTGGTTGTGAGCCTTAAGTAAATAAAAAGAGACGAAGTTTGGACTCACGTATTAATTAATGTTGTGATAAAATTCAAATTTGTAAAGGGTATCAAAATACTTATTACTTTGTTTTTAAAAAGTTATCAAGTAACAATTAGGTAAAGTTTTATTAAACTACATTAATTAAGATGACAATAGTTTATTTACATTCGTAATATCTTTGTGATTGTAATGACTTGTATAATTTCGGCAGTGCGTAATCAGTTTTCTTTTACCTAATTATTTTAGCACAATGGCTCAAGAGGAGGAACAGTTAACTGAACGTGATCCCAATATCAATACAATTAGTGAAATACCAGCAAAAAAGTTTGCTATTACTATGGAATTTCCTTTGTTTCTTGTGATGATGGGGATGTCTTTATGTGGTGAGTCTATAATTTAAAATCTATTTTTATTTCGCACAAACAACTCGCAAGAATAAAATGTTAGTAGAATATTTAAACTATTCATTCCTTTAAGTTGTATTATCAATTCAGTGTTAATTTGAATAATTATTCACAAGTAATTTGTATGTCTGAGTGACTAATAGATAGACCACTAAAAGTTAACATTTAACTATAAAAGTCATAATAACTCATTACACTAAACTTGTGTGTCGTTTTTTAAAAAAACAATGTGCTTATTTTATTATTCTTATTTTATTATATTTATTATTCCTCATATTGTGTTATGTTGTGAGCCAAAATTAAATAAGTAATCTGGTGTCAATGAAGAATTTAAACATTTATTAAATCAAGTATCTTAATTTTTAAATACATCATTTGTATACCTTAGGACCATCATTTTTGGATTTGTTTTCTACATGGTATTTATGTTTATTCAATGATGGTAAATGTTAATTGAGTAGGTATGGTTCATATCTACTTATCCCTTAAATAGTTTCATCTCATGATACAATTTGAAAGTCAACCTGGTTTGTAATAGTAGTTACAAAAACATGCTCATGAAAACATAAATTGGTACTTATGGATTTGGTATAACTATTGTGTTATAATGATAATACTGCTAATGCTATAGTAACAAAACAGATAAGAAATATAACTAAACAAAAACTTCTAAAAATTCGACCTAATATCAAAAGAAAAAAGATAGCAATATCACTGATAACATTTTTGTCAGTGAAGCTGCAAAACAACTTATAATTTATTACGAAAACATATCATATTATAAAAGATTTACAAAGATAAATTGTCCATTATGTATCATACATTATGATAACAACAAAGTTTTGATATGAAGTTTCTTTTTTCAGATAGTAATGATGCCAACAAAATAATTTGGTATGGCAACATAATAATATTTAGGTAGTTACTTGGATAGTGTATAATCTGTATTTGGAGGTTTTTTAACCTTAATTATTGTTGTTTGTTTGTTAATTGAATGCATTTAAGTTGATAGATAACAAGTAGATAATTTATCTGGCATGTAATAAATGTTTGCATGTATTTATTCCCTTATTTTAGTAACTATTACATAGTTTGATTTTAGATTATAGGCTTTTAAGTTCCATATAAAGGTCTATACATTGATCCTAAATGCCTTGTTTGAATATATATAATACTAGCTTTTACCCGCGGCTGCGCTCGCGTCACAAAAGGATAAAAAGTAGCCTATGTAACATATACCAATACACACAGCGCCATCTATACCAATACTTTTGTTTTCCCTTGGGAATATCAAATTTTTCCGGGATAAAAAGTACCCTATTATTAAATCTGGACTTCTAGCTTTACGTCTGCAAAAATTCAAAGCAATCGGTTTAGTAGTTACGGCGTGAAAGCTGAACAAACAAAAACTCACTTTCCGATTTATTATATTCGTAAGGATAGTAAGGATTACATAGTTACTCAGTGATGGTATTATTGGTCAAGTGGTTGTAGCGCGAAAGTCGATTAAGGGGTTGGTTTGATTCTCAAATCCATTTTCCAAATATCCGTATTAGCGCCGCCCGGAATACTTATTGCCATTTGCCATACGTGGGACAGTATTTCAGACTTATTGATATTTAAACAAGTTGAAAATGTCATTGCCCTATCTGGGAAACGACCCCGCGATACTTTGCCCGGCAGTTGGGGCGCGCGGCCACTTAACCAACGAGCTGGTCGTAAATAATGGTAGAATATATGTAAAAACTGCCTTCAAAAAACCAAAAACGAATAACAAACAAAAAGTAAAGACTAAGAAGCAGATAGGTTTAGAAGTCGGCGCCATAAGTTTCATACAAAATTATTCATTAAAACCTTAATAGATCATACATCATTATGAGCCTTATCAAATTGTTGTGTTTAAAAATACTAATTGAAAAATATAATAGACGCACTAATCGCCCCTACAAGTTTCGAAAGTTCGCTCTTTGGTTTCCCTATGGTTTCATCATCATTATACCCTTTCAAACAAAACAAGAATTATCGAAATCGGTTGACAAATGGCGGAGTAATCGGCGAACAAACAAAAAAAATAAAATAAAAACAATCAGCCCAACATAATACCTCCTCCATTTTTTGAAATCGGTAAAAATACATAAAATGACAATGACAATATTGACAATAATCACGGGGAATTGACAATAGACGCTGAACTGTGAGCTATCAACCGAAACTGCCAACATCCCGGTTGTTTTTATCACCCAGCTCGACTTAATCTAAATTCAACTCAAATAAAAATATCAAAACATTAAATTAGTCTGAAAATTATCAGTTAATATCACGCCTTTTATCCCCGAAGGGATAGGCAGAGGTGCACATTACGGCCCTTAACCTCTTATCTGTCGGCATATGAGACACAATAGAAAACACATTGTGTCTCGCGTATACCTATCTACGCTTCCGGCATACCATGGGTTAATGCAATGGCATTATAGTGAAAAGTGGGTGTTACATTGTACAATGGTACAATGTAACACCCACTTTTCACTATTTATGTTATGAGTCCCATATAATAGGAGGTGAATATGGCCACACCGGAGTCCGTGCTACCATTGAGATTTTTTTAAAAAACCTAGTAGTCCGACCCTGGAATTGTATCCGAGACCCCTTGACCCGGCAGTCGCACTTGCGACCACTCGGCCAACGAGGCAGTCAACATCAAATTGTTGTGTATGTGAACTTGTATATTTGTAAATGCACCCACGACACAGTAGAAAATTCTAGTGTGGGGCAACCACAGATGTAATATTTCTGCGGGGGCAACGATTTGTAAACAAAAAGAAAAAAAAAATGTTTTTAAAAATATTTAATTCCATATCTGGGAGCACGGGACAGCCCCCGCCAAGACAAGTCTAACTTATATCGAAAATTACGTAGGTGTTCTGCAGATTCAAACTGAGTTTAGATTGTCGTTTAATCTAATTTTGAACAAACAAATTATTATATCTACATACATATTGGCACGCACGTTTTTAAATAAAGGCATTATTGTTTGACCCGAAAAATTTTATCGTTGTTCATTCGCGGTTGTAATGTGATTTATGTGAGGTATTATTTATTTATACCGAAATGTCTACCGTAGTTATGGTACTTATTCACAAACTACAGGATATCTAGTCAGATGTCCTGTAATTTTTTTAGGTAGATAATTACACACTTTAATTAATCGATAAAAAATATCACTAGGTACCTATTTTTTATGGTATAAGCCGGTGGGGTATGCGTCCGGTACCGTCAATCATACGACGAAACATAAAGCAAGCATTGTTTCATGTCGGTTTTCTGTGAGGCTGTGGTGTCACCCGTTCGTGCCGAAGCATGGCTCTCCCACACTTAATTTTTGACTTATTAGGTATATTTTAGATAAGATAATCGAGGGTCATAATAACGTATTAAATCCGTACAGAAAACTGTACAATTTTTACACATAGGTACCTACTACCTACTTACCAATATATTTTGTTGTTTTGTTCTAATTAATCGTTAATCCTAGCATGAATCACTCGTTACTTCAAGCTCCAATGTCATTCGATGATAATTTTATGTCCTTTGTGACATTTGATGAATTTCCGCTTACGTAGGTAGATACTGAGACCAGCTCATCAACCTTAAAATTTCTTTAAAAGCCTTTATTGTAAAATTATAAGATATAAAAGTTCCTGATCCCCCGTATTTTTGACAGTTATAGCTACTAAGTACGGCGGTATGTTAACACCTGGTTGGCAAAATCTTTTACTAGTTGCCAGCCTTAACCTGGGTTTATTCTGATAGGTAATCCAGGTTTAACTTTGTTTTTGGCTTAGCTATGAGTTGGAGAAATTACTTACTATGAACCATCGTAACTTATTTCACATACCTCCTTAGTACTTCATTCTGGCTAGGTACAGTGGTTTGTAATAGGGCCGTAACAGAAAAACATGTTGTAAAACAGGGGTAACAATTTCACATATTGACCACTCCTGGACTTAGAGGGAGAAGAATCTTTACTTCCTCATAAATACACCTGTTTAAATTAATATAAATTAAGTCGTCCCCAATCCTAATGCATGAGCCAAGCCTGGGAGACATCAAATGTTAAACATAGGGCATGAGAGGTCTTTTACATTAGCAGGAGTTTCCCACAATACGTACGCTCTACGCTGCCGCCTGGCAAGCGTAGTTCGCTTGCCAGGCGGTCAGGGACCCCAGTTATGAATGTTGTAATTGTAGAGGACTTTGCTGCCTATCCGCTATGCTTCGGTTCCTGACATTTAGAACGTACCTACTCGAGTTTGTTTCTCGTGTTTCGTGTCTTCCACATAAAATTTACTGAGAGAAGTGGAAACTATAGTTTTTTCCTCTCTAATAATGTATTTTCATGGTTGCATCTACTGTAGATCCTGGCTTACAGGAGTTGCAGCGGTTTTGGGATGTTGTGGTTGTGGCGGACTTAGTCGGGGAAAAAGACATAGTCGGGTTTAGAATATAAACGGGTAGATAGTGATTCACATTAATCCATTAATTTATCTCTGACAATGTAGTAGTACTTATTATGTAAATTGACTACTTAGTTGCTCGAGTGTTTCCAGGTGGTACAAGGTATGAGTCATAGTCATAATGTTATAATAGGGGGCGCTAAAACAATGAAACTAATAATATATGACATGGCTGGTGATAAGTGGGTGTAGGTACTATTTTATCAATTATAATATTATCAGTTTTCCCATTTAAGAAATAAAAACGTGATGTTATTTTACATTATATACCTAGGCACCTAGTAAGTTACTCAAACTGAATAATTTGCATAGTTATCTATTGTAGTGCATGATACCATTTTACTTAAACTTAAGTCTGATTATATTTTGGAAACCTAATATTGTGTCGGCTCGGTCCTTGTCCTTAACATTGCCAAGTTCCAAACGGTGAAAGTTAAAGTCAAATCTTCCTTAATGTTAGACGTGGTAACGGTCAAATACCGTAGTTAGAATAACAAAACCTCCTCCTTTTATAAAGTCGGATAAAAACTATACAAAAACCATAATAATGTAGGTGTATGTAACATGATAATGATGAAAATCTGGTTTTAAATAGAGGTTCAAGTTACATTATTTAACTGGGAAAAGGTTTTTACCTTGGCCTCAATATTTTATCATGTTAACAGATATAAGACCCTTTTTTTGTTGATGGGGGGAAACCTTCAAAAGGCGCCTAGCTTTTTGGGGAAAAAGACTAGGGAGTGTGGGATTTTTACCTCACTAAAACCTCCCCGGTGGCCACCATCCGCACCTGAAGGAGGCACCGGGTCCTCTTAGTAAACCAACTCCGGAGCCCCCACAGTGCAACGCCTGTTACGGCACCTCCCTATGGAGATATAAGTCCCTACCTTTCTTTTTAGATTAGTATTTGCCTAGATTGTAGTTTAATAAGATTCAATAAGTACATAGAAATACCAAGTGCTTCTAATATTATTTTTGTCTAACTTGTCTCTAAAATTTTTAGGAGCGGCTATAAGCAACGTAGTGCTGTACCGAACTTGCGTCCACGCTCTCCACTATTCAGTGGACGAATGCAAGCCATTCCTGTCAATAGACAAGACTAATGAGACCCAACACTTGGAGGCTGAGGTTCAAAGATATGCGACTGTTGTGGGGACAGTCAGGAGTGTCATGGAAGCAGTGGTACCCGCGATACTATGCTTCTTTTTGGGAGTATGGTCTGATACCCATGGTCGAAAACCACTGGTGGTGTGGCCGCTCTTCGGTAAGTAATGCAGTGAAATCCTATTTAACCTTTTGAGTACCGTTATTATAGACACAATTAACTCGTCGAGTACCGTATTTATAGACACAATTAAAGAACAATAGGTTGCGGTCACCGGTGACCACTTGGTGTTTGACAGTTTAAAGAACAATAGGTTGCGGTCACCGGTGACCACTTGGTGTTTGACAGTTTAAAGAACAATAGGTTGCGGTCACCGGTGACCACTTGGTGTTTGACAGTTTAAAGAACAATAGGTTGCGGTCACCGTTGTCCTCGTGGTGTTTGACAGTTTAAATTATGAAAGTCAATGCTAGAAATATTGTACTGGAAGGCCAATTTCTTTTATAAGACGTTCTAGCTGTTCCAAATACCGAATTTGTGAATATGGATGTTATCTGGGGGTTTCTGGTGGTACGGGAAAGTCAGTTTTTTTTTTTTTTTTTTTTAATATTAAAGATTATTTCTCCACGGACTCTAGGTCCGTGCCCTTGTCATACAGTTTTTTAATTATAATACATCTAGTCAATTTTTATAAAGTAAAGAGGGAACCTAGTTACATACTACAATTAACTACATCTATAATTATTAGCAAAAGTATAGGTTACATAATAATTAGGCACTATTTATTTATTTCTATTTCAAAGGCTTTATGAAACCAGCCCACCAACAAGATGGGAGAGCCGACCTGACCCAGCAGAAGGCACCCGTTCACGAGTATGACGTGTGTGTCAGCAATTGGTCCGGTCAACCTTTTTATTGGGAACGGAACAACCCAACACACAGCGCCACCGACTGTAGGACATTTATGTGTGCATGACGCCTCAACCCTTGCCACATGGGCCGATTCCAATAAAGCGTACAATAGTCCAAAGTCAGTTGGTCATATTCTATTTCTACATGTTTCTGCACACACATTTCCTCATGTTGCATTCGTTCCATCACAAGCAACACTCCCCGCCCAAGAGAGCACCCATGACTGCCGCGTCCCTGTGTTTGATGGCCATTTTCAGGTTGTAGTCCTTAATACCCTGCTCACCCTCATCAGCCGCCTTCCTGATTAGTTTGCTTATCGCGTCTTCACTGTTGTCTGTGTAATAGATGCAACCATGCGTGTGACGCGATATTGCTACTACCGCGTGTGGTGGAAAGTCAGTTAAGACCAGTCTTTACTCTTTGCACTTTTTATCCCGGTAATGCGAATATAACATACATACATACATAAAATCACGCCTTTTATCCCCGAAGGGGTAGGCAGAGGTGCACATTATGCCACTGTACAATGTAACACCCACTTTTCACTATTTATGTTTTCAGTCCCATGTAATAGGGGGTGAGCCTATTGCCTAGTGAGCATATGCGAATATAAGCGGTGGTAGAAATTGTATGTAAGACATACCTATGTACCTACGTGTATACTGTTAATAACCAAAGTCATCGTGTCATTTGAGAGCACAATAAAAAAATAAAACCCCTACTGGCTTATAATTTTTAGCGAACAAAAGGCTACCAATAAAAATCAGTTCCTCACCGGTTTTATGGAGGTACATAATTTTTTCTTAATGGGTGCTTAAATTACCTTTTCGAATGTGCTTATCTTATTGACTTTATCCTGTTGTTCCAGTTCACCAGGCCTTTAAATATGGCTAAAATTAGTAAAAATGCATCTGACCTGTGTAACCCGTTTGCCCATACTTGTCAGATTTATTTGTGTATGCTAATTCTAGCCTTTTTAAGGTCATAATTTTGTTTTCGATATACATATAAAAACAGAAAACCCTCAAAATCAGAAACCAAAAACGACTAAACTTCAATAAGTCGCAAAATATTGTCTGATTGCAAAATGACAATTCCTACCGGTTGTGCATGTACATACCTATGAATATCATCATCATAACATCACGCCTTTTATCCCCCAAGGGGTAGGCAGAGGTGCACATTATGCCATTGTAAAATGTAACACCCACTTTTCACTATTCATGTTATGAGTCCCATGTAATAGGTATGAATATAAAAAAATACCTATGTATGTGGGTACCTATGTAACTTTATCTCGCATAAATTACTAAGTGCGCAAAATTATATATTGTACAGTACATATCAAATACCTATTTATCTGTTTAGTTTGAAATTGTAAATGGATAATCAGGTTCATAAACATTGTATGTTCATAAACACTTACGCACACTGTTGCGGTATTTTTTTTATGAATCTATATAATCACATGGAATCGGCAAACATAGCCTTACTTCTGATTAGTCATTGTTAGCCAAATCTTTATACAATGCATATGTGTACATAATCATACGATAAATTGAACACAGATAGTAGGTACCTAGTGATAAAATTATCTAAATCTACTTACATACGTCTATATAACTGGATCTTACCAGTTTCAACCGCATAGTTAGTTAATAAAAATATTAACCCTTCTAAAAATAAAGTGTTTAAAAAGTTTTAATGCCACCAAAACCTCAAGAGCGTTGGCACAGGCGCTGGGTCATTTGTGGGTTAAAAAACACCGCACGTCTACAAATAAAATCTATGCAATTGTGCAAAGCTAGACTCGTTTCAAATAACATCTAAAAGGTTAACGAACACCTTGAAATTACTAATTCAAATACTTATTAATCGTTGATTGAATGTTCAATCAGATCCATTGTTAGAACTTCAATGTCAAAGTACTTATGCATCTGTTTATTTATAGCAGACATACGTATTGGGTAGGTACTTAATTCTAATAGTACCTAGTTGTACCTAGTCTATCTGTACAGCCGTCGGTCTCATATCTGACCTAATTACCTAATAATTACTATCTGCAACGAAGCGATGGTAAAATCGTGTTTGCAGCGGATATAATTGATGCATTATAAACTGTATTTAATTCATTAATGCGGTGGTTAAATTGTATCACGTATGCCACAGCTGTCGATTCGATCCAAGGGTTAGGAAAATTTTTTGGGGGCTTTCGATTTTTATAGTTCTTGGTGTATGTTTGTCTTCCCATGTTTAGCCTAATCGTTTAGGTTTAGGCTATTTACCTGACTGTAGGAAGGGTATTGTTTTAAAAAAAGCGTTTAGGGTGCAGTAAGAGAGCATAAGAGCCTTACCAGAATAATTAGGTACCTACATATATATCTATCTACGTACGTAGTGGAGTCGTGAGGAGCTTCGCAGCACATAACATTGCAGTCTCTTATAATTTTAGGTTTCTCGATGTCTGCTGGATTGACGGTCATCTACTGTATGTCGGACAATTTGGGTCCCTGGTGGTTCGTATTGACTGCCATCCCCCAATCCCTCTGTGGAGGTTTTACCATTTTCTTTACTGGTGCATTTTGTTATTTGAATGACATCACGTCGACTGAGAATAGATCTATTAGGTAATATACAATAATGGTAAGCCGAATTCTCATTACAAGGACTTTTTAAGACTTTAATGAATGGTCTTGTTTTGCAGGATGATGTTGTTGGAAGCGGCTGTGGGTTTGGGAAGTGTAGCAGGAGCGCTAATGAGCCCTCACGTGTTGAGAATGGTGGGCAATGTGTATCTCGTGTTAATAGCTACATCGCTAAACGTTTTAGCATACGCATTTACAAACGTATACATAAGAGAATCCTTGGTTGGAGCTATTGAGGTAAGTTGTGTATTTATTAATGAAAGAGTAATTTGAAATGAAGAAAATTATGTTTATTTGTGCAACGAACAAAGATCACAAATTAGTGTAGGTATGTCAAAGTGCTTCCTGAAGACGGTTTTGTTTAAATTGACTAATTTTTAACAATATTACTACATATCATATCCAGATTAGGTAGGTAGGTACTAATTTACTACGTCAATAGTGTGAGCGTTTACATATTGACTATTAGTCATAGCGATTATGAAGCACACAGAACTGCATGGCCTGAAGATCGATGAGATCCGAGATGAACCATGCAGTTCTCTCCAAATATTAACCGGCACGCGGCTATGTCGTCTTATAATAATGGAGTCACGATACATTGCGTGTTAACGTGAACTAACTGTAAAAAGGTTTTTTATTTTATCAAATTAATAAAAAGTTTATCGTTAATTTTGACCCACTTTTTTGTTTTTGCTAAATAGTCGCGTCGCAATTTTGAGTAGTTTTATTATTATCATACTGTCACACAGACACGTGTATGTTAGTATGTTTTAATTTCACTGTCAGAGCCAGGAAATAAGAATCGAAATATCTTAAACTTTGCCCTCTACGAAAAATAATTGTGAAGGTAATTCCTAAATCATGGCCATGGGAAACGAGGATTAATTAATATTTAATTATTATAAATGCTAGATTTACCGGGAATCCCATTGGATGTTCCACTTATGTCAATCGCGTTCACCTACCGCAATTGTTTTTATGTCATACCAATGATAAAGTATTGAATCACCATCGTAATCAGACGATGTCTCATGTCTTATCTGCAGCTGCTTCATAACCACTCCTATTAGATAAACTCTAAATACATCAACTGATTGACTGATTGCAAAAATATGTTTGTTACTTCCCGAAATATCGATATTATCCTTATTGTTAATTATTCAGGTGGCAGATGATTCATACGCCGCGCCACCTACTAAATAGATGTAGATGGGTTTAAAAATGAGCCAAATAATATACCTACACCAAAAACAGGAAAGTCCGGTCAAAATAGAAAGAAAAATATAGAAAAAACAACTTTATCTGAATATTATTTTGTGAGCGCTAATTTCTCTGATATATTTAGCATTATAATATCAATGATAGGTACCTAGGTACCTACATACCTCGATTCAGTATTATGCGGTACCATATGCCATTTTACATTTATTCATCATCGGTCGTCGAACAGATAATTATGTTGTAGGGAATTTTTTGCAGTTTTTTCTGAGAACTCGAACGCCTTTCGCGAAGTTTCGTGTTCAATTCAACACTGACCTTCAGCATATTCACTCACAGTTTTAGCATGTACTTACCTATATTGTTTATTGCAAAAACTCTCTTAAAGACTGCTTAGATATTGTTCAAATAGTACCCGGATAAGATATAATAATATTAAATGAATAATAACGAGATGGTGACCAAACGCCATCCTGTTCAATATAAAAAACTAACCAAAATGATTTTGTTCCAGGGTGGTCTTTCGACGGTCCTCGACTTCTTATTAGTCAAAGAGATGGTACGAGAATGTTTCAAGAGTCGACCAAACAATGGCAGAGCACAATTGCTCCTCTTGACAATAGCCAACAGCTTATCAATATTTATTCTATATGGACTGATTCCCTTAGAATACATGTTTACAAGACAAAAGCTTCATTGGGGCATAAAGGATTACACACAATTTTCAGCTGTAGGCACGGCAATATCCTTCTTAGGTTCAGCTATAGGAATTATTGTTCTACAAAAAATATTGAAGAGAAGTGATTTGTTCGTTACTAATGTAGCGTTTATATCCGCAATCGCAGACTATCTTATTAGAACAGTTGCTACCAAGTCTTGGCATATGTATATGGGTAAGTTTATTTTTTTTATGCCATAAGCCGGTAAACGAGCAGACGGATCACCTGATGGTAAGCAATCGGCGTCGCCCATGGACACCTGGAACACCAAAGGCGTTACAAGTGTGTCACCGGCTTTTTGAGGATCGTTGGGGATTCAGGGATTGGGGAGATTGGGGAAGGGGAAGATAATTGGGCCTCCGGTAACCTCACTCACACGACGAAACACAACGCAAGCGTTGCTTCACGTCGGATTTCTGTGAGGCCGTGGTATCACTCCAGTCGAGCCGGCCCATTCGTGCCGAAGCATGGCTCTCCCATACTTATTTAATAACATAACATCACATTTTTTATCCCCGAAGGCAGAGGTGCACATTACAACGTAACACGCACTTTTCACTATTTATGTTATGAGTCCCATGTAATAGGATTTATTTAATATAAGTAAATAGGTATAGATTAAATAATGTTTGCGGTTGTTAGTCGCCTTCCAACACATTTCTACTTCATTGTGTTGTTACGAATAATATTTTTCAAAGGATTTATTAATTAAAATCACTATAATCATTCTAAATTGCGGTCACCATAAGGACTTAATATTTAATTAAGCAGTAGCAAAGTTATAATATTTTGTTTTTATAAATGCTTAGTAACGACAAATCATAGTGACGCATAATAATGTTATCAATTATTTATTATTTAACCTAATGCAACTATTTTGTGCTTTGTTTGTTTCATAGTAGGTATTACGTGATGATTAATTTATTTTGGATACTAAGCGCCAATTTATTTGTCGCATTTCAAGCTTAAAGTCCGATATTCAAGGTTGTTAGACATGTAAGGGCATGGTTCTATTCCTCGGGTTCGTAACTGGCATGCTAAAGCAATGTTATTATAACCAACTTCAACAAAGGATGGTACGATGATGATAATGTACCTATACAGATAAATAAAATTGCGAGTGTCTGTTTGTAATATTAAAATAACTGCTTTTTACTACATGCATATGAATATAGTTACGATACACATAGGTACCAGAATAAAAAAAACCTATTTTTTGTCTGTCTGTCTGTCTGTTTGTAAATGGCTAATCTCTGGAATGGCTGGGCCGATTTTAACGGAACTTTATTGGCATTTAGCTGGATAGTCGGTGTACGAAGGAGTAACATGTTACTTTTATTTTGGAAAAATTAAACAAAAAAACGTTCGGTCTTAAAATTCATATTCTACGCGGACAAATGTATGTATGTATAATCATAGTTACTTAATTCTATATAGGTATTTTTCCCTTCCAGGTGCATCCATAGCGTCAGTAAAGGGTCTCTCGGCTCCATTAATCAGGTCCTTTTTGACGAAAATCCTGCCTGTTGTGGATATAGCAAAAGTGTTCGCATTGATGTCTGCTATCGAAGGCATATGCCCCTTAATCTCACCATTTATGTACAATTCGCTGTACCAGTTCACCGTGGCCGTGTTCCCGGGATCGATCTATGTGCTCAGCAGTGCTGTTACTTTAGTCTGCGTTATCTGCATATCGTAAGTATTTTTGTACCCATATTTATTTCATTAGATTAATTTGTACAGCGGGCTCGATTCCCACATGGAATAGATACCTATCTAATTATTTTGTGGATTTATAAATCCTTATTCTGAGGCTGGAGTTGATGTGTTTGTGATGCACTATTTAAATGCATCCACGACACAGGCGAAAAGCCTATTAAAACGATAAAGGGATATTCCAACTTACTGCAGGCATACATAAAGGTGTCTATATGATAAATCGTATTAGGTACCTACTTACTTATTTACTGCAATATATGTATATTTGTACTGTGCGGGCAACCATAAAGCCGGTATGGTTGATAAAGACAGAAGTATGACATTGACAACACACAGGGACAAACCCGAAGGGGCCCTAAAAATATCAGATTCGTGCATTGTTCAACATCACAATGATATACCTACACGAACTTCAGAGCGTTAAATTAATCGGTTTAATCCGTCGTGTGTTTAAACGTGGATCCACGCGAGACACAACGTATTTTCTAGAGATGGGTCGTTGACGGTATTAGCGTGAACGAAACTAGACCGTTCATTTTCGTTCATCGACTAGTCGATGAACCGGTTCAAAATATAGACGGTTCACGGTCTCGTACATTATGAACGATGGGTCGTGTCGACAAGCGAGCGACTGACGCGACGCGACGTCGAGTGGACTGAATGTAATACATTGATTGTACTATGTAAACAGTTCTGCGTTCGATGTACCTGCCTATTGCACTGGTTATTGTAATTAGAGAAACCATCGTTTCTTGATCTTCCCTTCATACTTTTTCCAGGCTTAGGACTGGCTGAATAAAATTCAGGCGTATTTAGAAGATCAACTGATTTTATTTACATTGATTGATTGATTGTTTCCTTTTTTTATATATTTTTTTTAAATTTTTGTCTTTTTTATTTTTTTTATATATTTTTGTTTTTATTTTCATATATTTTTCTTACTTTTTTTAATTTGTTTATTATTTACAATCAAATCAATTCTTCATGTATACATATATTATTTGGTTTCAAAGCCCTTAAACCTTTCATTTGTAGAATTGACATTTATGAACATTATTTGTTCTACTTTACTGGTGGTTAATCTTGTGCGTCTTTCATTTAAGATAAGTCCAGTTTTAGAAAACATCCGCTCGCAAGGAACGGATGTGGCCACTATGTTGCACTGCGTAACATATATCCTTTTTAAATTAGGGTACACATATTGGTGTTGTTTCCACCATTCCAGAGGGCATGTTAAATTACCTGCCTGATCTTTCCGTGGCAACAACTCATCGGAAAGGTACATGTCAACTTCCTTTATCGCTCTCGAAAGTGGCGTTCCTTGAGCAACGCTCGTTGCTACCATCTTGTCAAATATTTTCCATGGGCTAAACTCTTCATCGTGATCGGTTTCTGTTGTTTCGGGAGTAACTGTAGGTGTTGCAGCGTTTTCTGACATACTGATCATAGAGGCCACTAATTTTCGGACCTTTTCTTTAGTTTTCATGGCTTCGTTGGCGTCCGAAAAGCCCTGCATTTTGAAACGCGGATCCATGAATGTGGCCAAAGCAAATGTTCCACTTTGTTCAATTAATTTGAACCGCTCTGCTAAACCTCGCTGAAGAAGCAGTACAGTATCGCGTGCGTCTGATACCAGATCAGAACGGTCTAGCAGCTTCTGACATGCTTCTTTTAAGCATCGTGTGACAATAATAACCGAACTTCCTGTTATGTATTTTTCTCCGCTCATGGAAGAAGTTATTTCTTCAAAGGGGCGCAATATTTGACACAGTTGTTTATACAAAGTCCAGTCATCAGGATTAATGACTGGAAGATGTCTATCGACGAAACCCAACGTTGCCCGCATAGCATCTTCCAGCTCCACGAAACGCTTTAACATGAAATATGTGGAATTCCACCGAGTCTCAACTGCTTGGATTAAACGTTTAGGTTCTAATCCTAATTGAGCCTGGTATTTTTGTAGCCTTTCTGATGAGACAGTGCTTTTTTTCACATGTGCTACTACACGTTTAACCTTGTCAATCTGTGGCTTTATTTGATGCAGTGCACTCTCGACCACTAAATTAAGGCTATGAGCATAACAGCCAAAGTGCTTCCAGCCTAAATTTTCTTTGACTGCCTTGACAACGTTGGCTGCGTTGTCTGTAACCATGAAATTAACTTTATGTTTTAAATCATATTTATTTATTATTTTCTCAATTTCAAAGGCGATATTTTCTGACGTATGATGACCTTCAAAATGACAACAACCTAGAAGTACAGTCTTAAATTCTAGGTAATCCGTCAGGTAGTGCCCGGTCAGTGCGAGATAGCTCTCAGTTTTCAATGACGTCCACATGTCGGCAGTTAAACAAATGCTGTGGACTTCTTTTTTTAATTGATTTTGAACAGTATCAAAAAGCTTTGTATAAGTTTCCTGCATTATGGAGTTGGATAGTGTTTTTCTGGTGGGCAGTTGGTAACCGGGTATCCACCGGCAGAATTTACGGAATGCACGCTCCTCAACGATGGAAAATGGATGAAAACTGTCCACACAAAGATCTAATAAATCATGATTTATTTGTTTTTTTTGTTCATTACTTATCTTCTTATTTAGATAAGTATCCATAATTTTTTGGCGTTTTGCAAGAGACTCCACTTTATCCTGAACATGGGTACTGGTACTGGTGCTGGCGGTGCTAGTGCTAGGTACGCTACATGTCGAACTCGCACCCAAGTCACCCAATACATCCGCTTGTTGCACAGTCAGGTTTGCTGGCGGTTGATTTATTAACTGGAGTCCGGAGAAAACGGAAATATGTTTTCGTTTAAGGTGACTTTTTAAATTTGCGGTAGAAGATTTGTATGCAAGTTTTTCCTTGCACACATTACAAATTGCTTTCCCGCTAGCAGCATCTTTTTCAAAATGGTGCCACAATTCGCTTCGGCCTGACATTATTTCTAGGTATGTCCTTTTATTTTACACTGTAATATAACTATTACCCTAATATCTAAATATACACTACACTAATTTACTACTGGTCTTCAGAGTGGAAATGATCACAGGGCGGGACAGGGGTTTCAATAACGCCACGGATTTTAGCACACAAACGTATAATTATCGGCTCAAAGGTTCAGTCAACAGTTAACACTTGCCACACTACACTATGTAACAATGTTCCTTAATAAAAACTTGCCCAAAACATTGAAAACAAACAATAATAAAGATTTTTGGCGCGACACGCGATCGTATGTCGGATCGTCGGACTGTTACCGGACTCATTCGTTCAGCTTCGGCGCTGCTCGGGTTCGTTCGGTCGCGCGGCCGGCGGAGACTGACGGGGCGCGCGGGGATACCCGAACGTTAGTTGCTAACCGAATGATATTTTTTGAATGTCGCGCGCTACACTATTTATTTACAGTTACAGAGTACACACGAAATTAATGCAAAGCAAAGTTCACTATACGCACAAGCTTCGATCAACAAGACGAATACGACTAGATAAAAAACAAAAATAAAATACGTCGCTCGCATTGCAAATGTAGATGTTTACATGCGTGTGCACGTTTCTTAGAAAAATCGCTACATTTCCTAGAAAAACGTTGCCATTTGAGTGACGTATTTTTGTTCCATATCTAGTCGTATGGTTGATCGAACCGAAAACTTCAGTTTATTATAAACCTTAATGCTTGAAGATAAAGTTTAATTAATTAGTTTTACAAAAAATATTATTTAAGTCCTTTTTTTAGAGGTACGAGCTCGAAATTTAAAATTTCGCTTGAAAATAAAAAGTCATTAGTATAGAAATGTTTATTTGAAAATGAAACTTAACCTCTAAGTAATAAAATTAAAAACTTTTTGTTTACAATTATTGTGTGCTTATCTGTCGTAGTTCTTGGTATTAGGCGTCCATGGTATTTTAGGTATTAGTATTGTCCGTCGCGTCGTCGACTCATCGGAAGTTGTCTACGCATTGAACTAGTCTATCCGACAGACGTGAACAGTTGATACGTTCATGGACCGTCGACCGGTCTATTGGACCAGTCCGTTCATTCAACGCCCACCACTAGTATTTTCTATTGTCTCATATTACGGACATTCAAGCGGTTAAACTTCATGGTCTTCATGATCAATTTAAGTCCTTATACCATACTTATGTCGCGGAGAACATAACGGGTAACCGGGGCTCCGACTCGACGTGCAGGAGAAGGAACGGGGTCTTTTTAGTTAGTAAGAGTCTGACACTCCCTCCCGCCTCACCCAGGCGGGAGCAGTCATTCGAATATTATGCCCTCTAAAAAATACCATACTTATGTAGATGTTTTTCATTTACTTGTCTCAATGTTTTCTTGTTGGAATCAAGCTCAGATTCCTGCCCTTTTAAAGAAGTCAGATATCCTACAATACCTGTTCTTTAGGTACAAACCACAACATTTATACGTTTTAAAAATAACATGAGTTTGTTTTGGCGCCATAAGTCCTAAGAATGTATAGGAGAATTATTATTTTAGTTTTTTTTTCGTAACTTTAGGCACCTGATTTTAAATAAGGCTTTGTGCTTTACGCAAAGAGTAAAAATGTTTTATCTGATATTTATTTCCCTCAACAACATAGAGTAGTAAATGTCTTATCATGTAATTTATCAGTAAAAGCGTAAATATGTTGGTAAATCTAAATATGATAAAAATGTATTTTTATTGTGATGTTTCATTTTTACCTAAAGGAGATAATAAAAGGCAATGATGAAATGCCAGTATTCATACATAACTTTTTTATATAATACGTTGCATTTTTTTACTGATATGGGTGCGTTTATAAACATACAACGTCACCCATACCCGGAACAACAATTTGTGGATCACAAAATGTTGCTCCGTGCGGGAAACAAACCCGCTACCCGTTTTGCGGCAGTCTAGCCGGTTGCCTAACCATAGTCAATTTGTGAGAAAAACATTTTTATAAACTTTACTATCATAATTTTTATTTTGTTTCAGAACCGTCCAATACTTCAGATGGAATGTAACCACTCCATATCAGACTTTGGTTGCAGCTTAGAAACTAGATAAGTTACCAGGACAGTACATGCTTTTTAATGTAGAAAGTACATAGTAGTATACGCCTACAATGCAGCAGAGAAAAAAAAGTAAACAGATATCGAGCACCCAAGTTATTTACGACATATTTTATTTTACAGTATGACCTATGAACCTGGATGTTCCACTAAGTATCCCACGAAAGTTAATTTTAATGAAAGTATGTAATGTGATATATAGTTTAGATTTTTATTGTAAGATTCAGATGTTTTTATCTTTATGACATAGAATTGAGAATTTATACCCGAAAGGTGTTAGATTTTTATAGCATGTGACTTATTAGCACGTATTTAGTTTATTATAGGGTGGTGTTTAGTCAAACTTATTATAAGCGTCGTTGTCGATCAAAATTGTTATTTTGTTGCGCTAGCAATGAACTAGTACTGTATTGTAAGTACCTCCGATTTGACTGTGTAGTAGAATGAAATGCCTTATTTACGAAGTATTGAATTATATACAATTTATTATGTACTAAAATGTATGAATAAAAGGTATTATAAAAGATTAAAACCAGTGCCTTCTTATTACATCTTTTATTAATAATGTCTTAAGTCTAATGAATTCTTGGTTTTTGTCTTCTACTGCAACATTAAAAATATGTTGTTACAATGAAATAGAAAATACAAGGTACACAGTACTTGAAAATCAATTATCGAGTATTGATATGATGGCTAAAAAACTGTTACATGTTTGAACTGAAATGTTTTATGGCGTCGGGTGTATGAAATGTGAACCTATTCTACTTATATTAATAATCATCACAGATTACAAATTTTATTCTTCTAAAGTTTCAAGGTCAGGTTTTGTACAGAACAAAAATTTTTAGGCAAAAGGCTGCCTAGACACTTACAGTGTATTAAACAATAACTTTTAGTTAAGTAATTTTTTTATATGCTTTTATCGAGATTCAAGATTTTACTCCATTTCCACCCAATTGCAACTGAAAGTCTCTTATAAGAAATGAATCTCGAGGTTACATCACATAGAAGTAGACTTATAATTATTTGTGGCCTATAACTAGGTATGTATTTATAGACTATTTTAAAATTTAAACTGAGCAACTCTACATTTATAACATCACAGATCAGCCAGTTTTAATTTTGTTACCTTTATTTCAAAGATTGGTAGCTACCTAAACTTAGGTATGGAAGCAACACACGAAAAACAAAAACACTAAATATCTAAAAAAAAATAATGGAAACAAACTTAATTGCTAAATAATAAAATGAAGAATTATAACAAGTGTAACAAATTGTGTTAATAGCAATGGAACTTATGCAAAATTTAATGTTATTATAGCTTGATCAAATCGTAGGAAACTTAAAATTATTACATACACATGAATAATACTAGTTTTTTATTGTAATGTACAGTCTTATAATAATGAGGCCTGCTAAATTAAGAGTAATAACTATTTCTAAAACTGGGAACAAATTCGGATTAACTTCACCAGGAAGTAATTAAGATTGTCGCATAAGCGCCACTGGCTATTCACATGCACCAAAAGAAAACTAAACAAAAATCACTGTTTATACGCGCACTGGCGAAAGTAATATCAAGAAGTCCCTTAAATTTACCATTCTTCTTCAGGCTCTAGGCCTTGATCAACAGCTGACACAGCAGTATTGAAGTCCTGGAAAAAATTACAATTGATACTTAGCTAAATTGCTTTTAAATACAGAAATCCCATTTCTCTTTTTTCATTACTTACATATCCATCAGTCTGTGGTTTGCATGTAGAAATAATCCAATAAGTTTTATCATAAAATAAATTAATAAGAACTCATCTGTCTAAATTAAGAATTTAGTAAGAAATATCTAGTAATTTATCTTATACAGTAGGCTTTATAAGGTTCAATTTGTAGTAGGAGCAGTTTTTTTTTCAAATATCGATATGTGAAATTGGTACTGAGAACACTGAAGTCTGTAACTGAACTATGTAAATTCCTGCTGTTAAAATACATAGAATTTGATGTATGATAACTACAAATACAAATATAACGACAAATAACTTACTCGAATATCACTGCCACCATATTTGTTGCCCTTGTAAGAGGCAGTGCCACCTCCTTGCAGGAAGTCAGGTACAGTTTGATCTGCCTGTTTGAGGATCTTCGCCAAGTCAGGCGCTAGTTGCATGTCCTGTAATAAAATACGTTTTGTAAGTGATCCAGTTAAAGTAAATGAGTACTAGAAAATACAATTAGACAAGTTTGATTGTTTCGAACTATCTATGAAATTATAAAGATGACTTACTTGATCACCATCATAGAAAGATACTGCTTTGCCTCTGTTGCCCACACGACCGGTTCTACCAATCCTGTGCACATACTCGTCAATACTCTTTGGCAAATCATAATTGACTACTATGTCAACATTCTTTATATCTGAAAAAAGAAGAATTTATTAATTCTATTACAAAAACCGCTGAATATTGAAAAGGGGTTAGAAATAAACTTACCAAGTCCTCTGGCAGCTACAGCAGTAGCAACAAGGATGCAATGTCTGCCACTCTTGAAGTTGTCGAGGGCTTCCTCGCGTTCACGCTGCATACGGTCACCGTGAATCGATGACGTCAACATTTGTTGCTCAGATAACATCGCTGCTATGAAATCTGCGTTGCGCTTCGTCTCAACAAATACTAGAATGCGCTTGCCATCTGAAATTATTTTAAATAAGTATTATAAAAAATACTCTTGCTAAAAATCAACATCAACTATACAAAATAAGTTAGATAACACTTGTTGTTAAATTGATCATGACATGTGTTGGTTATTATTGTAAGTTAAACTTTTGTATGCTTTACAGTAATAACGACTATAGCAGTTAGTCTCTTTACAAACACTCACCATTTTCTTCAATCAGCTTCTTCAATGTTGTTTGTTTTTCATATTTGGTGACTTGATGGAATATTTGTTCAACATCCGTGCTAGCGCCTCCCACGATACCGACGGCGACGAACAAGTAATTGTTCAAGAACCTGCCAGCCAAGTGCTGGATGTCTTCTGGGAATGTCGCCGAAAACATAAGCGTCTGTCTTTCTTTCTGCAAAAGAAAATACCGCAATTAGTTACCAAACTATAAATGGTAGTTATTATTAGTTCTCGTTTAAAAGTTTTACTTACAATCGGGACCATGGTAGGGTGGTCCATCATTTTTTCAACACTGGGTATGAAACCCATATCCAGCATGCGATCTGCTTCATCAAGTACCACAAAGCGGATGCTATCGAAGGACACACGGTTGCGGTCCACGAAGTCATGGAGACGACCCGGAGTAGCCACGAGAATGTGGCAGCCTCTCTACAATTAACAAAGAAAAACTTTCTTTAAAATATTGTTTCTATATTTGTAATTAAACCGAGTGTTATTATCTGTGTTTTTTACAATATCTGTATATAAACTACTGTAGTTAACAATATTTGAATAGATTAAACTGTCAAACACCAAGTGGTCACCGGTGACCGCAACCTATTGTTCTTTAATTGTGTCTATAAATACGGTACTCGACGAGTTAATTAATGTCTAAGTGCGCCATATGCGTCACAATAAAAAATATATATAATGTTGTTTAGATTTGAGTTCTGTAATTCTGTTACTATTTTACATTAAAGATTGTTAGCCATTTTATAGATAGCACTAATGGTGCTATTGTTTTCCCTATACAGATCTTAAAACATGATTAACTATTAAAAATAGAATGTGTAGTGTAGGTAGATGTAAATGACTTTGAAGAAAACCATACCATTAATTGGGCATGCATTATGTATCATTTATGGTAATCAAATTACATTATGACTAGAGATCATACCATATTCTGTAAAAAATTGTAATGGATGACTCATTAGTAGACTTTATGAATACTAGTTAACACTTACAGAGATGTTATCGCCTTGATGACGAACTGCCGTTCCACCGTAAGCGACGGCAATTTTAAGTATCGATCCATAAGAGAACTTCCTTGCTTCATTGAAGATTTGCAGTGTCAGCTCTCGAGTAGGTGACACTATGACGACCTAAGAAAAAAGAGTTAGTATTAATATTTTTCTTCATGAAGAGAAATAATTTACTTGTCAGCAGAAAGATACATACTTGTGGTTGAGCGCATCCACCTGGCCCCACAACTAGTTCTCTTTCATCTTGTAGTAGTGTGTTTATGATTGGCAGAAGGAAAGCAGCCTAGGAAAACAAAATATATTAGAAAAATGTCCATTATTAAAATGTGAATAAAATGTATGAAGTTATTTATTTTACCGTCTTTCCAGATCCAGTTTGGGCACATCCCATGAGATCTCGCCCACCCATTATGATGGGAATAGCGTGTTTTTGAATAGGCGTCGGTTTTTTGTACCCAGCCTTGAGAATGTTGTCTACCACATACTTTCGTAGATTGGCAGTCTCGAAGCTTTCGACAGCGCGTGGAGGATTTTCACCGCTGACCTACGTAAAAAGAGATCAACATTTGATTAAATCAAGTTATTAATTTTGATTGTCATATGAATTTAATATGAAAATACCATACCCTATGGAAGAAACGTGAGTTTATGTGTTATATTATGCACACAAGAGTACTTGAAAGTTTTGAAAAGTTAATAAGATACTCAATATTTTTTTTTTTTGATAAAACAATATGCCCTTCTACTAAATTTTAAGATACAAGTTATCTCACATTTAAAAAAAGGTTATATATTGTGAGTGGATACTTTTCAAAATTGTAAGGTGTAACATATTTGTGTGTATAAATAAGTGAAACTTTTTACTTTGCCATAGGTATATTATTTATTTCCTACTAATGGCTTATTAACAGTAGCTATTAAAATACATACAGATTTCAAGGTTACGCAATCTACAATAGCAGATAAGACCTTGAAATAAAGGTCAAGATTTGCTTAAATTAAAATTATAACACATTTTTATACAAAGGAAGATACTGTATGTAGAATTAGTGTATTATGTTTTACTTACTTTAACAGCGATGCAGTCAAATTTATCAAAGTTAATGCCAGAGCTTATAGTGCTGCTGAAGATCTCTTGTTCATTCTCTGTGGGTTCAGGCGGGACATATGTGACTGGGGGCTTCTTAGGTTCTCCATCCTCGCCAAGTTCAGTTGGGCCATCTCCACTGACGCCACCACCTCTGCCACCACCGCGCCCTCCGCGGCCCCGCCCGCGTCCACGCTCACCACGATCCCGTCTATCGTCACCGTCGCCTAGTTTCGAATAACAATTGCATTGATAAAATAATATGTATATTGTATACTCATATTATGTGCTAGTATGTAGATCATAGTACCATAGTTACACATATAGCGATAAATCGCGATGTCGGTGTGTATGTCCACTAGTATATACATGTATTTATTGAACTTAGCTATTTCCTGTTACAACAACTGATTAGAACTTGATGATTTGTCATTAAATTATTAATCTTAATGCTTGAAGCCCTCAATGCTTATTGATAGCATCCAATGTGTATGTGTGTGTAGTAGTTGGACGAGGAGCTTCTGTGTAATATGTCGCGGGTTACATTCCCGCACGAAACTATTATTTGTGTTACCATGTGTTGTGAAAGTTATGTATATTTATTGCATCTGTGACAAAGGAGAAACACATGTTGCGTCCATGTTTAAAAACAAAGAACAAAAACGCTTACCATTTTCATAGTCCCTTGGCTCCCTGCCGGGCCCGCCGCCGCGTCCGCCCCTCCCTCCTCTACCGCGGCCCCCGCCTCGTCCACCACGACCCCGTCGTTCTCCAAAGTCATCACTGCCTACTTTACAGTCATCATATTCTAAAAAAATAAGCAAACATCCACTTCAGCACATAAATCTTAGTGCAGAGTTCCAAGTGGTAACATGATACTAAGCTGAGTGTGAGGTTCAAGTTTTTTTATTCATAATCATAAATAAGCCACTTGACAAAATAGTTCCATCACAAGCACTTTTAGGCAACTTAGAAATGGTTGATAGTATAAGTGGAACAGGGCCATAAATATTTTTTATTGGACATTTTTTAATCATAGATATTTTGTTGGTTAAATGGGAATATTTAGAAAAAAACAACTGATAATCAAAATTCTACATTAAAAGTAAGGATATAAGTACCATTTTCATTGAACGACGGGAATCCTCTTCCTCTAGAGAGACTGTGTCCTTGGTCAATATTCGAGTGGTTGTTTGATACTACACCCTGGAATGATATTCAGCATAATTTAAAACAAAGATTATATCAGACAATTAAAAAAAAAGGAATACTTTGATACTTATGTGCTGGTGCTCCAGATTGGACAAACTTTAATTAGATTTATACATTGGAAATTTCTTAAAGAAATCAGAAACATTAAAAATGATGGACACCATGTTGTTTCAGAGTTGTCGCATCTTTGAGAATGTATTATCTAAATACTATGGAAGTCATGTTTTTCTTGGGTATCCTGTATATTGCTACTAAGCCCAATTTCAATAGTCAATATTTGTATGAAACAAATGTTATGAGTAGGTCTTAGACATAAAAGTAAACCTTGTTGGGCAAAATAAATACTAGTAAAATTTTTAAATTATAGAGAAGTTAATGTATGTAGATATAAGTATTGTTAGGGTATGATGAGGCCAGGATGATCATGTTTGATCAAAAGCCTCTCAATAAAGATAAATACTAATCACAACAGTCAGTCTCAATAAGTTTCATAAACTTAATCTAATAAAGATCTGAAGAAAGAGTATAAAGTAGATACTTTTAGAGGAACATTAATTTGTAAAGGTAAAGGTCTTACCACATCAGCACAGCAATCATCCCATTCATCATCCATTTTCTAAAACAAATTATTATTATTATTAGATAAAAGTGGCCAAGTCATAAATTAATAGTAGGTACTATGAAATTGGAACTTGTAATAGTAATTACTGGTATAGGAATATGGTATCTAGTTGCAAATCTTTAGTTTGGTAAATTTCTTCCCGGTAGGTACTGTAGGTACCTTGGTAAGTACACGCTCGTAGGTATGTAGCTACGCTATGCACTTAGTTATATCAGGGACCTACCAAATGAAGTGATCTAGAGTACCATAACTGGCAATATTAACTACAATATCGATATGACAGACATTTTTTATTTTATGAAAAGTGTAGGTATCAATGAAAAATTCGTTGACGAAGGTAAATTTGAATCTGACTAATTTTAAAAGTTAAGCAACGTTTAGAAAGTAGGAACTTGCTTAAATAACACAGGAAGCTATACAATATCGTTTTGCTACTGTTTATTAATAATTCAACAAGAAAAAAATGCTACAACCGGCACCGGCTTTTGTCAACCATTCGCACGTGCTAAAAGAATAATATTTGAGTAGTGGGTGCTTACACGACAATAAAATGAATTACAATTCCTATTGAAAAAAAATTACTTACATATTTGTAATTTGCGTAGTAACAAACTCAACTATCCGAATTAGAATTGAACAAAGACAGCAGCCGCCAATAACGCCAAACGCCAGCAGCAAGCAATGGCGGAAGCCAATAAAAAAAGTTGCCAGGCTAAATATAGAGAGTCGATAAATAAACTAATGGGATGCACTCGTAAAAAATGTTCTGAATTTAACAAGACAAAGAGGTTACTATTAAACTATCTTATTGGGGGCCCTAGGGCTGACGTTGTTTTTCTTACCAGATGGAGCAAAAAGAACAAGAGTTTGTCCAATCACAGCAGCTGTCAAATAATAAACGTCTAATGGTGTAATATTAACTATTTCCCTATTGGACGAAGAATGAGAGGCTCACACTAGCGTTATCTAGTGAACAATAATACGGTAGGCGCCATTGACAGGTTGACGAAATTAATGTTATGACTGCACGGTTGGCGCGGTGGCTGAGCAACTGGCTGCTGCGCAACGTGTCGCGGGTTCGATTCCTGCACGACGTGTGATCCACGGATCGATGTTCCGGATCTGGGTGTCATGTGTATGAGAACATGTGTATGTTCGTAAACGCACCCACGACACAGGAGCAAATCCTAGTGTGTACTCTAGTATAATATAAATAATATCTGATCTCATAATATTTGTAATAACAATGTCAGTTATGGTGTATGTTGTAATAGTTTAATGCTTATTAAAATAAAACTATTAAAAATTACTAAACTGAAAAGTTATCTTAGAAACATTGATGCTTTATACTAGAATTACAGCGGTACTGTCATGTGTCAACAACCTACTGTCAAGTGTCAAAAAACCATTCAAGCGCATTACGGGAAAATAACACAAGTGACCGAAAATATTCCGAAGAAAATACTACGCCGAATAGAAGAATTTGCTAACGTTATAAATAAACATCTTTATCTTTATGAATTTGGTGTATATTTCAAGTTCTTTTATGAGTGAGAGCGGTGTAAAATGTTTTTCCTCGTAAATATAGTGTTAACGTAACGATGCATTTATCAAAGTGGGTTTAAGTCTTATCTCTGTTGGCGTCCTCTTGTTTTTTATGGTTCAAGTTCACAATGGCAACAGTCGAAGAGACAGTTAAAGTGGCGGTGGTGACTGACCGCTCGCCAAATATCGTACGATGCTCCAGTACGATGACTGCGGAGGAGTTGTGCATTATTTTGTGTAAAAAGTATAAAATTCCTCCTCTTACTCGGACGCTTTTCGCGTTACGAGTCAAAGGTAGAGATTATTTTCTCAAAGATAACGCTAAAGTGTTGTCCAGCACCAGAGATTATGAGCTTCGAATACGTTTCAAGGTAAATAGTGTTTACTATACTGTAAAAAATCAATCTTGCAGTTGAGTAGAAACCAGAGTGCATTAATTAAATTGATGAATTATTAATGTGAAGTAAAAGAGCAAGGAAATGTCTTAGAGTATGAAACTGTTTGGTTTCTAGACAAGCAACTTGATTGAAATTTACTGTATAGCCTATTTATTACTTACTAATAGAGAACAGAAAATAATACAATGAACAAAAGAAAAATACATCAAAACTTAGCATTTATTTATATATCACTAGCTAATCCTACATGGTTTCACTTGCTCTGTTTCGGCTTCTATTGGTTGCAGCATGATATTTTATAAGCCTATAGCCTTCCTTGATAAATGGACTATCCAAAACAAAAATATATTTTCAAATTGAACCAGTAGTTCCAGTAGATTCGTGCATTCAAACAAACAAACCATTCATAAATAAGTATAAGATATAAGAGGTATAGTTTAAATCTTTTTCATGTTACACAACCTACTATTTATTCATATCATACAAGTACACCTTTGTAGGTAAATATGATAGTGTTTCATTACTACTCTAAGTAGATATGATTAATAATGAATAAGGTATAAAGTGGTGAATGAAACTAAGACATTATCGTCAGCTTATTGCCATCCAGTGCTCAATGTTTATAGACAATATTTGATTCATAATACATATTTAGATCCTACACTTGAAGTACGCATACTAAAAATATATCAATCAATACATTAATTTGTATCTATATCAACTTGTAAATATACCTACCTTGAAAATGTACCTACTGCTTTTATTTATATGGCCGGTTATGAGTCTCTTGCAGTAAGCGGCCAGCCTATTGTCATTGAAAGAGTTCTTTTAAATTAAACCTATTTCATTCATCCATTCATAACCCTATGTCTATCTCCCATAGGGGTAGACAGTAACTATGGAATACCAACTGCCACGATTTTTACATACCTCTTTCACTTCCACAACAGTCATTAGTCTTTTTATATATATACCATTAAACCTATTTATACATAAGTCTTTCATAACATTGCTCTATATAGTTGATGGTTGGTTGGATAGTTTTTGAATAATACACTAGCTTTGCATTGTACTTACATACTTTATGACATAACTTTGGTTATTGTAAAATGATAAGTAAAGGACTCCTAACAAAAACTGGACTATTTATGTTTCTGCTTAATAAAAACTGGTTAAATTGAATTTATAAATTATAATAATACTTCATAATAATTTGATAGAAAAATTGATAACTATTTGATATTTTGATATTTTACTTCAATTAATAAATATTAAATTGTGTAATATGCCAGTTGATTTACTCTATACAAATAAATAAAATATTAGTTGTGAGGTTTTAAAGACTGAATGTATGACTGGCTTGATCCCTATTACAAGGGATGCTTAATATAAGTGGCAGAAAGTAGAAAAATACAAGGTGTAATGAACATACAAGGTTTTATTTCACTATTAACTTCTGTCCACATTTTCGTTTCATGCTCACATAGGATATTCTGGAAACCTTAGATAAAAAGTATACTATGCCCATCTCCTAATTTTAAATTACCTCCCCACCAATTTTTAGCCAAATCGATGTAGCCATTCTCGAATTATAAATAGTATGACAACATATATACCTATGTACCCCATGCTTGTAATGTGTTGTCCTCTGTAATATTGTCTGCTGTATGGTTTACATGAAAACGATATAAATAAATAAATATAACAACATGACTTTCTTAACTAAAATCGTGGGTTACTCATGTGAATATACTGAGAAAAGCTCTACTAGTTTCGAACCACAGAGGGGTTCTTCCTCATGAGTATATTCATGTGATTAACCTGCAGTTTAAGTTAATTTAGTATGTCTCACGATAGTTATTATAAAAACATGACTTTCTTAATTATAGATAGATGTTTTATAAATGTATGTATTTTTAATAGGTGCCAAGGCTGGAACTGTTGATAACTCTAGATGAAACAACCTATGACTACTACTTCCTACAAGCGAGGAGTGATGTCTATGAGAATAGAATTCCTGAGATCAAATACCCTGAACATAAGAAAGAAATGCTTGGTCTTGGGATCGCTGACATGTAAGTTCTTTATTTCATATTCTTATACAAACTTAAGGATAAAAATTGATAGAAATTCAATTTATGTTTAAATTGTCTTAGGTATAATTTACCTAGTTAGTAACTATAATGTAGGTAATAAATTTATAATGCTATGCCTACAAAAACTTTTATTAATTATGTATTCAATAAATAAATTTACAGTATATTTAAATGATGATTTGTGGTACCTAATATATTACACAATGATACATTTCATAATGTGATATTGTGTAAATAATTACGTGATTTACGGTTAAGAAAAAGTGACACCTTTTTATCATGTGTTAGTTTTTTTTACTCATAATATTGACATAATAAAAAGTAAGACCAATATTTTAACCATCATTTAGGAACATAGAATATATCTGTGGCATATGTCTTATCAACTTTTTACTGACTTCAAAAATGGATGAGGTACTATGTTCGGCTGTTTTAACACATACATTATGTTTTATACTACAACTGCATAATTGCAGTAGATGATAAATGATCAAGTATAATTCTATCTCACAATTTCATAGAACAATGGGCTATAAACATCTAATTACTCTGTCCATTTCTGTGAGACAATAGCCCTTGGTTATAACTGTTCAATTAACAAGTGATCTTTTTAATTTACATGTTTTAATGTTCTATGTTATTTTCCTTAACATGTTTTTTTAGGCCTTATCTCTGTTTTCGTTAATTTATTTATGACTTATTAGTAGGTATGTTTAATACTTCTTTGACTAAGAAATTGCTGTTTTGAACTCTATACAGTCTCTGATAAGCCTTAACTTTTTAAACTACTATCTCCAACCTTCCAAACAGCGATTATGTCAAAATGTCTTATGTAGAGGAGGCCCATGGTATAATATCTTTTTCCACATGAATTTATACATCATCATGAACGAACAGCCTATAAATCCCCACTGTTGAGCACAGGCTCTTCTTACACGGAAAAGATTTGAGCATTAATCACCACGCTTGCTCCATGCGGGTTGGTGATTACAAACTTATAAATAGAAATTATAAGCCCAGATTTCCTCACGATGTTTTCCTTCACCGTTTGTCAGTGGTGTCTAAATAATCTTACAAAGTACATATAACTCGCAAAAAGGCATATTGGTACTTACCGTTGGTAGGTTTCGACTCAACACCCTCATACACGAGAAGCTGGCGTTTTAAACCTCCGGGCCGCCACGACATGAATTAGTACATTACTCTAGAATTGGCGATGCCAGATTTCATTAACTAAATGAGTGACCATGACTATGTGTCTAAAACACTCACAAGGATAAACTTAATAAAAAACGACATTTATCAGAAATATTGGGTAATCTATACTCTATAGTTTAAACATCAAGATTCAGTGTCGCGTGACGTAATTCAACGTCCAGACTGGACAAATATATTTATGTATGTATGTCATACAAATATTTATTGTAGTTCGGCAATGCGGCAATCGAACCTGCGACCCTGAAGGCGGAAAGTTGTTACTTTGACGTATTAACATCTTTGCTAAATATCTTAAATTGGAGCTTGTGATATTTAACAAGTTTTCAAGGGAACCAAATCATTACGTATTGTTTTTCTTTTATATTATTTAATAGTTGTTACCCATGGCAAGTAGGGTAGAAGTCACAGACATGTTGAAAATATTGTAGCGCCATTTATTTATGTGCATAATATACACTGTATCGATAATGGCTACATCTCTCCTTGGGTGTAGGTTAGTTTTCTTAGGACAATGTTACTAGTTTAAGCATAGGCTAGTAACATTGTCCTAAGTATAACTAGCAAGTTATACGCGTCCAAAACCACGACAATTATCGCACTTTTTTTAAAATAAGGGATGACAAACAGCCCATAAATATAGATCATCGCACACCTAACAAGCACGGCTCCGGCACGGCTCCGGCACGGCTCCGGCACGGCTCCGGCACGGCTCCGGCACGGCTCGAACCCAGTAATCAACTTATCATTTAAATATGAACTTTAAATCGTATGTCGTATGACATATTTCATAATATCAATTTTAAAAAGCTGTAATCTTTTTATATTGTTTCCAAAGCAAAAACACCGTGCCAGAGCCGTGCCGGAACCGTGCTTACTAGGTGCGCGATGACATTAAGGCCCATTTCACCCTCTTTTATGGGCGGCGATGATTGGTCACCATCAGATGACGCTTGTGCTCGTTTTCCCCCCTAACCCCATAAAAACTATTAGCTGGGTAGCTGGTACCGGCGAACCAGCAAGCAGCGCCTGTGAAAAGGCTCTACAAAGTCTAATACAGTTAGTGATTATGCTGGATCAATGTCCGCACAAATACTACGTGAGGTTTTAATATTGGTATAGGATACTTGCGGTTTTAATAGGTAGCAATGATTTTCCAATAGGTAGGTATACCTAGGTACCCAGGACTGTAGTAACTAACCACATACGTAGAAACGTAAACCTACTGTTTGAGATTTGCGTATAGAAACAGTAATATTAGAATTGTGACGAGAAACTATGTCATTTCATTATCCTAGCTAATTTTCTGCTAGGTTAGCACGTAAGTACATTTACATAAACGACATTCGTGGTGATATAGCATAACTAAACGAATTGTTTGTTTTTTAAAAATCTACAACGTGCGCACCCTGAGCTGGTAACTTCTAAATTCTACTTTTAAATTTTTTAACCGACCTACCAAAAAAGGAGGATGTTTTCAATTCGGTTGAATGTTGTTTTTTCATGTCCAATAACGCTAAATTATCTCTAGTCTGAATGTAATTTGTTTGTGTAGGAATGTGTGGAATCGACAATCTACCTACAATACCTGTCCTTATTGGATTTTTCCTGTTTCTTTATGAGTAACTAATCACGATTTTTATACCTGATATTATAGTGGTATTAAGGTACTAACTGTGATTCTTGTATACTTCTTTAACTTTCATCACATTTATGCATTCAGTTGCATGATATATCCAGACCTAAAGGTACTCTGTACCATATATTCTCCACCTTCTCTCTATCTTCTTCTCTAAGTTGAATCTCTATGAGTAGGGGTATTTTATTCAATATCATTTAGTGTATCTCCTCTGTAATGCGGGTCTCCATAGGCGGAATAGATTGCTTACCATTAGGTGATCCGTCTACTGCTTTACCGCCTTATCCCATTAAGAAAGACGGAACATAATTTATATCATACTGTGTAGATACATAGGAGTTGGTCCGGACGTCTCCTGTCTGATATCATTTTATCTGTCAAGTTGTAAATGCTTACAAATTGGAGGATGACAGGAAGGTGTCGTTCTGTACTTTCCTTAACCAATTGTGACTGGGAAAAGGGATGTGCTCACTTACAGTTCAATTTAATTCCTTTAAAACAGTTGACTGACATATTGCTTTGGTTATTATTCTTTATTAAGGACCTCATTTCTCCGTATGACTGAAGTCAGGAGACCTCAAGATCCTATACTGTGTATTTTTATCTAAAAATCTTTTTATTTCTCTGTTAAATGTCAGAAGGCAATTCTAGTTTTTATCCGGGATATTAAAATTTCATGATCCTTGTAAACAGTTCATAACTATCCCTGCAGTTGGAAATAGGCCATGAGGATGAAAGATTCTCTCTAGATTCAGTGTATGGATTTGGTCGGTATATTTTGTTTCTGTCGGCATAAAACCGATACCTCCTTAGACGACATCAAAGCGCATCGCGTCTGATCTATGATTATGCTAATTACTACTTACTAGTACTAGAACATATTCAAGTCTCGGATCTCCAAAAATAGCGAGTTTTTGCTATATAAATTTATTGTAAGTACATGTTTTTTATGCAGGACACGCGCCACGGCCGAGGAAAAATTGTCGGTAAACGATGTGGTGAGGGATTACAAAAAATATATACCGAAAGTGATCGTTAGAAGACATGGTCACGTCGCCAAGAAGCACGCTCACGATCAACTACCAAAGCTATGTTCCGTCGGCCACAACGTGAAGTAAGTACACAACTACAGTTCACAGACTACATTACACAGATGCGAACACTATTTGCCGCAACTTGTTGCCTTTTTTGTAAACACATTTTTTATTATACGTCAACACAATGGTAACAAAAGGCCAAGATTGTATCACTGGTCAGATGTTTGCATCTGTCTACAATTGTGTCCAACAATTAGCTTTTTTTATAATTATGGTTTGGTACCCAAAGGGTAGGTAAAGTAACGGGATTATATAAGGCAGCACGCTTTCTTAAAGAAAAACATCGATAACATTCTTTTAAACGTTCCTGTTGATGCCTCCTTTGTTTTTTTATGATAAAGAACGCTTAGTTCGGGTAGATACCCGGTAAATAAGATGATTTACCTACATCAAACTTTAAAGTTTTAAAGCTCGCCCCACGAGAGCTTTATTTTAAATGTAGTTATACATTTAAAATAAAGCTCTCGTGGGGCGAGCTAAATTAACTATGATGCTTTTTGGCTTACTCACGTAATTATTTGACGAGAAGCTCGACTAGTTTCAAGCTATGCTAAAATTCATGAGTAGCATTCCGCGACCCGTGACGAGGCGACTGTCGCGCGACATAATAATTACGTGAGTAAGCCGAAAAACATAACAAAAACAATATCTGTTATGCATAACAGTTATAACAGTTATAAAATCACGAAAATGACAATACTAATGTCGGAGATAATTACCTTATACTTCTTATACTATAATATAAAGCAGAAGAGTTTGTTTTTGTTTGTTTGTTTGAACGCGCTAATCTCCGTAACTACAAGTCTGATTTGAATAATTGTTTTTGTGTTGGATAGCGCATTTATCGAGGATGGCTATTGGCTATAAAACATCACGCTACGACCAATAGGAGCTGAGCAGAGCGTGTGAAACCGCGCGGAAGTAGCTAGTTTTATGATATTAGGTTTATAGTTGCTAGAAAATGAGAAAGCGTCCGACAAAGAAAAATAGAATCTGTTCTTAATAGAATCAAGAGTCACGTTCCGAATACAATCAGATTAGCAATCTATTCACTTATTTTTTATTAGTTTTTATTTTTAACCTCATTTACAATTTCCATTAGTTAACATTGGAACAATTTTCAGCTATATAAAGAACCTATACTTACAACAATTATACATAATGGCGCCCAACTATTTGGCGGAGGAGTATGACAATGTTCTATGGCAGAACGGCAACGATGTGACTCCGGTGAACGTTGTGGTCGCACCCTTCCATCCACACCAACCCGGTATAAGGATCTTCAATACTGTTAAACGGGAAGTAAGTATTAAATGGTATCTTATTTTCATTCTTTGTCTTTGAATATTGAATACTATTTACCTACAGTGTATACCCAAAATTCCTGAACTATGCCTGCGAATGTCGTAAGACTAGACGACTATGGCACTACATATTAATTATTAGTTTATGTACACAAACAACACAGACAAGACATACAGAAAAAAATATAACAAAACAAGTACATAGATACTGCATATCCCTTATGGGATTTCTTCCTGCAGCCCTGCGAGAGGAGAAATAAATACAACATAATAACACATTGTGTAACAAAAAAAAAACAAATTAAAACTACTTAAAAAGAAATTAAAATAAAAACACATTTCAGAGACCTGGTAGCAGCGCTCTCTGATAAACCAGATTTTATTAAGCTGCGATCTCCCACTCGCCTGACAAGCATGGAGATTATGGCAATCCCTATTTTGTAGAGGAGACCCATATGATAGTCAAACTGTGAACTCTCACGAGCTCATGATTATGGTTACTTATGCTTCAATCGTATTAGGCACATGTTTGCTAAGCCAATAAATAATACGTATTTTTTTTTAATTTTGTTCGTTTTAGAGTTCACTCTCGTAGATACAGCATACTCATACTGGCTATGTTCATATAATAATATACAATAAGGATGATGACAGGGTATGAAGATTAAAAATCTAATTAGTCCGTCAGTTAGGTAGTCAGTTAGGTAATATTAGACACATTTTTTATTTTATTGTAAAATAAAATGATACTTAGATAATATAACAAATCAAAGTTTAGGAGTGTGGGCTAAAACGTCATTTCTACGTACCTATAAAATGATCATAGAAGTGACGTCACGTGACATTTCAAATTAATATATCCTCGAAAGTGTGCGTTTCTGTAAAAAAATACGTGTGTAATATTTTAAAATAATTTACCAGACGTACATTAAAATAATATATAATTAGTCATCTACCCTATTATAAATGTGGTTGGCCAAACAATAATGATAGTCGTCATTTTGTTGGGTTTTTTTTATGTTGGGCTTCCAATATGATAATCTCTGAACTCTAGATAAAGTTAATTATTAATCAAAGTTTTAGTATTCAAATTGTTATCTCTACGTATTGCATTTATAGGAAATGTTTACAAAATAAACTAAGATAATTCCTTTATTTCAGTGGATCCACGTGTGTAAAATAGAAGAATTAATTTATATTACAAGGAATGGAGAAAATTCGTTGGAAATATCTAGAAGAGGGACTCCGCTGTTCTTTAAGTTTAAATCTGAGGAGCATATATCATCGTTTATATCAGTTTGCGATGGCTATTACAGGTAACTATTAAACTTTATTTTATATTAGCATCACATGTGATATTAATATAGTCAGATGTACGTAATTACTTACATAATTACGGAATAATAATTTGATTCCCGATTCGGGCAAAGTATTACTACCTTTTTTTAAAAAAACTCAATTACTACTGAGATTTTCTCCAGATTTTTGCCCGGCATATGGCAATAGGCTCATCCCCTATTACATGGGACTCATAATATGAATAGTGAAAAGTGGGTTGGGGTTATATAGTGGCATTAAGTGCCGTAATGTGCACATTTGCCTACCCCTTGATGATAAAAGGCGCGATGTTATGTGTGTAATTTGTTTAAATCTTTTATTGATTTATTAGCCTATACAAATAGCAATAGGTATTTATTTCCTTAAAATGCATGTAAATTAATAATTCGCTCATGAACTTTTCGTTGCCCATACAATGAATAATGTGATTTATTATTTAAAACAGATTAATGGTGAAATGGACATTTAACTTGTCTAAAGACGACGAGACACCGTCTCTGAAGGAGTTGCAAAGAATAAAATGTCACGGCCCGGTCGGGTAAGTACTACGGCACACAACACAACGGTACGCCAGTAAAAAGGGGTACATATTTAATGTAATTGTTACCGAGAATTATGTTTAAAAGAAACTTTTTAACTTTGTAGGGGCGCGTTTTCATATAGAAAGTTGGAAGAGAAACGTTCTAAGAAACATGGTTGTTATATATTGAGACAGTGTCAGGACGATTACAATGTCTATTATTTAGACGTCTGCACAAAAAACAGGTAATTACCTCTATATATTATTTTTAATAGCATATATGACGCGGTTACTTTTTCTGATGGCGTGGCGGCGTGAATAAAAGGAAATGCACCTCATGTTATTATTATTATAGGCTATAAATAATTATTACGTGTTATCCCATAATATAACATATTGTGTGACCATTAAACATTATTATTTTAATAATAGTAAACTGACTTTTATTAGTTGCTTTTATAAACAAGGTAATTTAAATTATGTAATTGAGTTGTGGACTGGAAAATTATGTGGATTTACCATTTACTAGCTTTTCTCTTGCGGCATCACTCGTATAAAATTTAGAGATTTTTCTCGTGTAGTTTCCGATCCTATAAGAAAGATTATGAAAGAAACTAGCTTATATGGCAATTATGGAGAAGATTAAATATCTAGTTGATTATTTACTATGAAAGTTACGCGATCAAGAATCGATACTATCGATAATAACAATTTGGTCCAGTATTTTCTTTGCTGGCTGATTCCCAAGTAGGTTGGGATTGGCACTCTGCTTCTCAGATTGAGTCCAGTTCAAACATTTCACTGTACATTTATATTAAATTATTGTTTGAGTTTAGATTTTTTCTTTTTGTGTAACAATTTGAGTCACCGACATCGCCATACACTGTTATTCCCAATGTTACTTGAAATTGGTTAGAGTTATCAAAAGTCGTATTTTTAAATAATTAAAATTTCTATTTGCAGCACCACAGAGACTTACAGAATAGAATTTAAGGGTCATTGTTACGTGGTGAACAATGAGGAGTACTATAGCATCGAGAGGCTAGTCGGATGCCATCAGAATCCAGAAGGCAGAATATTCTTAAACGAATGCATACCACCGTCGGAATATGGTAATTATATTGCCTATATTTTTATGTTAATGTAATATTATAACGGTTGTTTCCTTGCGCATCACCACGTGTAGAATATCTTTATCTTCGTGTATCTTAATAATTAAATATAGTAAACTAGCGACCCGCCCCGGCTTCGCACGGGTGCAATATGCATGTATTATACATATAAACCAGCCTTAAGAATCACTATCTACTAAAAAACCGTATCAAAATCCGTTGCGTAGTTTTAAAGATCTAAGCATACATAGGGACAGACAGACGGCGGATAGCGAATTTGTTTTATACTATGTAGTCATAAATATTGAAAGTCCTACAAAATTCTATGCAAATGTTATCCGCAAATAATACAGATGTGTAGTACATACTATGACTACGTAATCAAATAAAAATAAACAATTAACAACATTAACGGCCCAAGGCAGCTATTATCTCAAGTTGAACATCGATGACTAAAAGGTTCGAGTTTATCATAGAGCGCCGCTACCCGATTTCTTTCAAATATGTAGTCCAGTGCCTTTAGCCAAAAGCCACTTTAGCGCTTGTCTACAGAGAGTGTAGAAAACTAAATGTACGGGAATGACACTGACAAGTGTCAAAATTTACCTCAATTCCATATAATTTGGTTTTCTATTCTACATGTAGACAAGCGCTAAATGGCATTTGGCTACAGCCGCAGTTACGGCTACTGTCTATTATCTTTCTGTCTATAGCTTATGTTTACTAGAGATAACGTTTTGACAAGTTTTATATATTTTATCTGTCGTTTCGCTCTTGCCAGAGCGGTAGTGGTCACGTTGAGGCTTAAGGCACGTATTTGTGTTGGAGGCCTAACACTGCTTCCCTCACGATCTCACGCCATCTCTCCCTGTTCGTTGATCGTCTGGCGCAGTCTGACACTGGGTTTCCTGTTGCCGATTTTACTCGATCAGTCCAGCGCATAGGCCATCTGCCTCGTGAACTGGTTCCCTCTATTTTCCCCCGATGATGTTTAGCTTACCTATGTCAAAATGGTGTCTTTTTTATTCAAATGTCAAAATTTACAAATAGATACATTTATTGAATTGGAACTCACCGTTAGTTAGCTTATACAACAACCGTGGGGAGAGTAGGTGATAGATATATTTTACTTCTTCTACACATGGAATTATATACTTAAGATTTCCAAAAAATACTACAGAGGCTAAGTTTCTTTTTCGTTTAAAGTAATCGAAACGAGACGGCGTTCTGTGCTCTGATTGGTTGGTTTATTAGAGCCGGCCAATCACAGCACCATACGCGTTACTTTAAACGAAAAAGAAATTCGTACTAAGGCCTCAGTACATTATAAAACTAACTTGTTTTAATCTCAGTTTTGAATAGACTTGGGTTTGACCGTCTGTTGTTTTGTTCGCCAAACGTTTATGACCTTCCCTAGCAATATGGGCTTCCAGACAAACAGACATGTGTCTCATTTAAACTACGCGATTATATTTTAATCTCAGCTCGTTTTAAAGTCAAGATTTACGATTGTACTTTGTAATCGTATACAGTCATTTTGATTCTGTATTTTATGGTTGAATCTCCCGTTTTTATTGGTATACGGTGTAAATCCGTTCAATACGAATGTTATGTAGTTCAATATGTATGTTGAATCGAATTATTTTAACGGAATATTTCATCCGTGACCGTGATCATTGCAAACGTTTACAACAAAAGTATCGTTTTTAATATATAATTTATAGTTTTATAAAGGAATAATGGTTCTAGCGTCTTCATTCTTTGATTGTCGTATTATGTCTTATTTTGTTCAATATTATCAATGTATTATGTCGTTAAAGTCTTGGTTTTTGCAAAGTTACATCGAAGCAAATATTCTTCCACGAATTACCCCCTGTTCGGGTAAATTGTAAAGTTAATAGGCTTTTTACGGCACCCAATTTATCATAATTATCATTATTTATTAGGTATCCATATATGTGAGGTGATGCACTCATTATTATTCGAAAGGGATTAATTAGTGTTGAAGTGTTGTAGACAAGTGTCTGCCAGCGACTTTATTCGCACTATTAGGTGATTCCCGTTTTCAGCTGTCAAAACAAAGTAAACCCGAAATATTGTCCAGATGCAACAAGTAAAGTTGCATTAAAACCTGTCTATTAGTTCCGTAGATTAGCATGCATATTATATCTGCAAACAGATTCTATTTTGTGTAGGTAAAGTTGTTTTTATATCACATGTTTTTAAATATTTCTTGTATAGTACAGACATATATTTACTATTTTCTTATGCCTTTGTATAGATAAGTCACAATTACTGCTGTGTGGAGAGCCAGTGAAGAGAGGTGTCCGCATCGACCAGGCTGAACTCCAAGATATACTCAAGGACAACAAGAGCCCGCGATGTCTACCCAATAAGGACATTCTCTTATACACGGGTATGATAAACCCCTAATTAAATTCACACCCTCTTAATTTAATGTCATGCTTAAATACGTACTTGGTTAATGAGATAATGTATAAATTAACTTTTTATTGTATCCAATGGAATTTTGATCTTTGTTGTGTTTAAGAAAGTGTCGTTTCTAAAGTTAATTAATCGGTTTAGCCTTAACTGGCTGTTTTAAAAAAGGTCCGTTATCGTTTGACATTTTTTTTTCAACTTAGTGCATGTTGGTTTAACATTGACGCTGATTGGTTGATTAACTTGAAGCTGGCCAATCATAGCACCGAACGTCATAAACGTGTCGATTGCATTAACATAAAATAAAGTTTGCACTTTCCGTTTTCTTCTAAAAACCTTTAACACATTTAGCAATTTAGCAATTTTTATATTGTTTTTCTTATCCAAAATATTTAGATTTAGTCTTAACGGTTTTAATATTTGTCTTAGGTTCAGAAAAGATTGGTTCAGAGAATATAACAGCGACGTACAAAGCGCTGTGGAGGCTCGACGAGACCAAAAAGTTGGTGGTCGCTTTCAAAACTTTACAGAGAGAAAAGGCTAATGATCATTTGAAGGTAAGACCATTGGTACAGTTTTTAAAGTTTATTATAGCGAATGTTGATGTTGATGGCTATTTATATTTCTTATACTAGTATGTGTAGACTCTGATTTGTAGGGTACACTAAAGATAATGAGTTTTTTTAAACGTTTCATGCGGGGCATTAGGATTTTTTCCAGTGTCGTGTGTGCGTATACTTATTTCGGTTATGTTTTATATCGTGTTATATTTATTTAAACTAAGTGTGGGAGAGTCATGCTTCGCCACTAATGGGCCGGCTCGACCGAAGTCATACCATGACCACATAGAAAACCGACGTGAAACAACTTGTGTTGTGTTTCGTCGTGTGAATGAGGCTACCGGAGGCTATATAAGTCCCCTCGGGATTCTCCCCAATACCTGAATCCTCAACAATCGTCAAATTTATAATCCCCCAAAGGCCGGTAACGCACTTGTAACGCCTCTAGTGTTTTACGTGTCCATGTGCGACGCCGATTGCTTACTATCAGCATTAGCTGAAAACGGAAACGGATTACCGTTTATCCCATAAAAATCTACTATAACAATAATTGACTAAGGCGTTTGAAAGGCTTTCGGAGTTTAAATGCTTTAAATATTTTGTCTATTTCATTCAGCTAAAACTAATTGCTTGTTTCAAAGTTAAGAGCACCTTGTTGTCATTAAGTCGGACGTAATTTCCTTAAGCAATAAAATTACTTCCGTACGGAAAGGCTACACACAGTCAAGAAACATCTAATTGAATTACGTTTTCTAGGAAAAATAACTTTCTTTATTCTAAAATTAGTAACGATCATAATATTTGTATAGCAATACACAGTGACCTACTCTAACCTGTCAATTTTTTTATTAGATTTTGATCTTTGTACTAAAATAATAAAGTTCAATATGTAATAAAGATATTATGCTAATTAATTATGTTGTGTGCTAGGATTTCGTGGAGTTGGCGAGTAAGTGGGCGTGTGTCCAGTCTAGTTCAATGGTGCGTCTGTACGGAGTGACGCTCAGCTCACCCACCGCGCTTGTACTCGAGTACCTACCCTACGGACCTTTCGACGATTATCTCAGGTAATTTTCAGCTTAGTGCTGTTGCTAATAGGGTTCAGATTTCAATGTTTTATTGTTGACAAGATTCGCTAATTATGTGTTTTTTTTGTTACGGGCGTCGATTTCTTGATCGCTGTAAATTTGTAATGATAACTACATACATGTAGTGTCATTGCTAATATTGATTAAAACTTGTTCATTCAAGATAGAGGTTATTTACGACTATTGAAGAAACAACATTTAGTTTTAAATGACGTGAACTGAATAATATTTTCCTTGAACAAATGTTTATCCTTATATAGAGCCTATTCAAGAAAGTTCATCATCTAAAATCGAATGATTCTAGTCTATAAGACACAATAATTTAGTTTGTTCTAATTTACACTATACAGGCATTACCTAAAATACCCTAATGAAACATTTCTAGGGAGAACGAAGAGCGTATAAAGCCGCTTCACTTGAAGAAGGTCGCGGCAGGGCTGGCTCGTGCACTATGGGACCTGTCGGAGGCGGGCATAGTCCACGGACATATACGTTGCCGACGACTCTTGGTCGCCGCGCATTCTGGAGACCGCATCAATGTCAAACTCTCCGGACCTACGCTCTCACATTATACACAGCATGAGTAAGTACTTATCACTATGAGGAGTTCAAAAGTAAACCTTATTATGAATAAGAATAAAGTTTATTACCCTGTAAGCATTTGCAGGGAAAGTTCAAGTATTACGTAAAAAAAATTTGGATGGCTTTTTGTTGATTTTAAGAGTGGATTATTAAAATAAACTGTTTAGAATACAGAAAAAATATACTTTTATTGAGCAAGACTTTTACATACAAAACTGTCAATAGGGAAAAAAACGCGGGGGAGAGAATAAAAAAAAATATGTTGCCAACCTAACAATTACAGTTATTGCCAACAGAACAAAATAAAGGTTGCGTTCTCAAATAGCAACACTCCCTTCTGAACGCAAACCCATTTTACTTATACAAAACAAATGTTTCTCATATGTTACACCCTTGGTTAAATTATCAGCAACCATGTTACAACCATTCACAAATAAAAACTTAACTTTAGAATTAACAATATTTTCTCGGATAAAGTGTAATCTAATATCTATATGCTTAGTCTTTGGTTTATAACAATCTGTAGTTGCCAATCTTAATGCACTCTGATTATCACTATAAATGTGTAATGCACTATTCAAGCCTTGGCCAAGTTCGGTATGCAGTTGTCGAAGCCACAAAGCTTCCTGTGTCGCCGACGCCATCGCCATATACTCTGCCTCTGCTGTGGACAGTGCCACAGTCTGCTGCTTACAGGAATTCCAGGATATACAAGCATTCTGAAAAATAAAAGTATACCCAGTGCAAGACCTTCGATCATCTGGGTCATTAGCCCAGTCTGCATCACAGTAACCAGTTATGTCGCTGGATTCTTCTTAGACATAATGTATCTTCAGGTTCTTAGTTCCCTGGAGATATCTCATGACCCTTTTTACTCCAAGCCAATGTTGAATCCCTGGACCATTACAGTATTGACTCAATTTATTAACTGCATACGTAATATCTGGTCTGGTGACCTGTGCCAGATATATAAGACAGCCCACTGCTTCTCTATATGGGAATTTACTATCTTCATTCTCAGCTTTCTTATCAAATTTTGTATTTACCTCTATTGGAGTCCTCACTTGCTTACAGTCTGACATGCCAAAGCGTTCCAATACTTGGTTTATATATTTCTCTTGGTCTATCGTGATCACACCTGCCTCACGATTTCTAGTTATATTTATTCCAATACACTGTTGTGCCACACCAAGATCCTTCATACAGAGCTCTTCCTTTAATTTTACTTTGACATTTGTTGCTATTTTATTGTTATTTGTAAATATCAAAAAATCATCTACCCATACTGCAATATAAATCATTATCGATTCCTTTACTAAGAAATAAACACATGGATCAATTTTTGATCTATCCAAACCAATCTTAACTAAAATGCTGTTTAGTTTTAAATTCCACTGACGGCTCGCTTGCTTAAGTCCGTAAATAGATTTATGCAATAGACAGACTTTAGAGTTTTCATTGTAGCACTCTGGTTGTGACATGTATATCTCGGTGTCTATGTCACCCTGAAGAAATGCACTAATGGCGTCCATCTGGAATATTTCTAAATTATACTTAGCAGCCAGAGCAAGTAAATATCTGATTGAGGTATATCTTACTACTGGTGCATAAACCTCATCATAGTCATTGCCCTTTTTCTGAGCATAGCCCTTTATCACTAATCTTGCTTTAAAACGAACAATATCGCCCTTCTCATTAGTTTTACTTTTATAGACCCATTTACATGGCAAAGCCCTTTTGCCAGATGGCAGATCAACCAACGACCAAGTTTTGTTTTTGATTAAAGAGTCATATTCCTCCTGCATAGCCTTTTTCCATTGGTCAGCATGTGAGGAACAAAGAGCCTCATCTAGGGTCTGTGGGTCACCCAAATTGTTAATAGGACAAAAATAACTCACATCATGTTCATCCTGCTCTGCATACTGGACAGCTCTGCGCGGACGTAAGTTTATGTTACGTGCAGGCGTCGACAGATCAATTGATTTATCTGGTATGTAGGATGAATCATCATTGTCACCTGATAGGTAGTCATCACTAGAGGATTGCTCGGGGTTGCTTTCTGCTTCTACTTTACAGGATTCTTCGGGTGTCTGGAATTTGGCATCACTCTGTGATAAACAAGGTAAGTACACATTATTGTTAACTTTTTCAACATTTTCTAAAAATACAACATCTCTGCTCTTGATAATTTTATTTGTTTTCAGATCAAGTAGCCGATATCCCTTGCTTGATTCACAGTATCCAACAAACACATATTTTCTAGACTTAGAATCCCATTTTTGGCGTTTTTCTTTTGGTACTTGTACCATAGCTTCTGAACCAAAAATTTTCATATTAGATAAATCAGGTTTCTTACCTGCCCACATCTGAATAGGCGTTTTGCAATCAATAGATTTAGTAGGTGACCTATTTATTATGTAAGCAGCTGTTGCTACAGCTTCACCCCAAAATTTCTTAGATAATTGAGCATCAAATAGCATACACTTAGCTCTCTCAACCAGTGTCCTATTCATCCTTTCTGCGAGCCCATTCTGCTGAGGTGAATATGGGATACTAGTTTGATGTTCAATTCCATGTCTACTTAAGAAACCTTCAAATTCTTTGTTACAATATTCTTTTCCATTATCTGATCGAATAACTTTTATTTTCATTCCGAGTTCATTTTCTACTTTGCATTTATAATCTTTAAATACCTCTAGAATACTCATCTTGTCTTTTAAGAAATAAACATGAACTCTCTTTGTAAAGTCATCGATAAAAGAAATAAAATATTTCATACCTCCCAGTGAGACTTGTTCCATCGGTCCACATAAATCGGTGTGGATAAGCTGCAGTGGGTGAGATGCTCTTGAACCAACATTATTAAACGGAAATCGGCTCTGTTTACCTTCCAGGCAAGTGGTGCATGTAATGTGTTCATTACATTTCTTCTCAGGGAATGGGCCGACTCCCTCTGCATACTCCGGTAACTTGCTAACATCACAGAAGTTCAGATGTCCCATGCGTCTATGCCATAAAACAACATCATTAATATCTTTAGAACATGTTAGATTTGAAAATACTTCTCTATGAGTATTTAACTGATAGAGGTTGTTTACTAGTGTGGCTGAGCACAGTAACTTGTCATTCTGATCATATATATCACAACCTTTGTCTCTAAAATTTACTTTACAGCCATTTTTCACCATAGCACTTACAGACAAGAGGTTAGCAGCAAGTTTAGGTATGTATAAAACTTCTCTTACCTGAATTTTACTTTGATCATTATTATTTATCAATAAATTAACCTTTCCCATACATTCCACAGGTAGCGGTGTCTTACTGGCAACTGTTATGGTGGGTATCGGTGAACTTGTAATGTCATACATCCAATCACTATTATTGGACATGTGCATGGAGGCGCCTGAGTCCACATACCAAAGGTCCGGATTCATTGACTGTGAAGATACTGAAAAAGCTGCAACAAAACTTTGTTTATCTTCTTTTTCTATGTTTTTCTTCTTCGGAGCACGGCAGTGCCTGGCCATATGCCCATGCTTATTGCAATTGTAGCATCGGGGTCCTTTACTTTGAACTTTAGCTACACTGTGATTACTGTGAATGGCGGGTTTACTTGATAAGAAGGCTGCACTCTCTGGACGCTGAACTTCCTGCAAAAGTTTCGTCTTGATTGAGTCTGCGCTGATCTTAATCCCTGAGCTCTCCAAACCCATTATCATTGGCTTATACGTTTCGGGTAAGCCAGCCAACATTAATGTTCCAAGCCATTCGTCATCTATGTTGAAGTGTATGTTCCTCAGCTTGTGTGCGGTCGACATAATTTTAGCGACATAGTCGTCAACGTCTCGAGAACTGTCCAATGTAGTTGTTATAAGGTCTCTCAACAAGGCTACTTTCCGGTATAATCCGCTGTCATCGAAAGCTTGTTGTAAACATTTCCAAACTTCTTTACAAGTAGTGGCACTCTGTACATGTACGTAGTTAGTTGGATCCAGCATTAATATCAATTTTGATTTGGCCTTTGTTTCCTTGCTTTCATCTACATTAGTACCTTCAACACAACTCCACAAATCTTCCAACTTGAAATATGCTTCTACTGCGAATTTCCAAGTCGCGTAGTTGTCTCGTCCTACGAGTCTATCAATGTGAAACGGATTGTGGATTGTATTAGACATTTTCTTCGTTGATTTCACAATTTTTCGTAAAATTTTCTGAGTGACGCCACCAGAGTTGAGGGTTACCGGCAAACTCAATAAACGTCGATCGGATTTTTGTTTCTTCTAACTGCGTTTATGCTTTAATTAATTAACCACGCTCTGCTACCATGTTGATTTTAAGAGGTGGATTATTAAAATAAACTGTTTAGAATACAGAAAAAATATACTTTTATTGAGCAAGACTTTTACATACAAAACTGTCAATAGGGAAAAAAACGCGGGGGAGAGAATAAAAAAAAATATGTTGCCAACCTAACAATTACAGTTATTGCCAACAGAACAAAATAAAGGTTGCGTTCTCAAATAGCAACACTTTTTACCTTTCCATTCGTCATGCCTAGGATATATTATGTGAATTTAATCTTAGAGTATTTAAATGCCAATACATAATTAGAAAAACTCGACAATTGTATATTCTTTTGGAAGAAGAGTACTTGTAAGCTATAATGATGCCAACCTCATAAGCTTTTAAACTCTATTTTAAACGAATCTTCTTACATTTCTAGCGTGCATTGGATGCCAGTGGAATTCTTCTCGGACATGAGTATGGCGAAGCGGTCGGTGACGGGCGATATTTGGGCCTTCGCCACCACGCTGTGGGAGGTCTTCTCCTACGGTCAGTCGCCCACTGAGACCAATCCCGTTCTAACTGCCAGGGTGAGTGTTGTTTAGGTATCCAAATTTAATTATTAAAATAACCATATTTTACCAGCTTTTAATATGAATATGCTCTATAACACAGAGTTACGAGATGGGCGACCGGTTGCTCCGTCCGGCGCGGTGCCCGGGCGAAGTGTGGGCGCTGGTGCGCCAGTGTTGGCAGCCCGACCCACTGCGGCCGCAGGAGATCATGCGAGACATGAACCATATGCTGCATCGAGGTATATTGTCTATCTATATCTATCTACACTATACTCACTCTAGTCCAGAACTGGCTAACTGGCTACATGTTCTTATTTGAGAGCCGAAATAGTAAAAACATATCTCAACTTAGACGTTGGAGACTCATACACTCAGCACGGTTGAGAACCGGAGGTGACACCTCGATCTTATAGAAAACCGTCGTGAAATAACGCTTGCTTTGTTTGAAATTACCGTAGGCCGGATCCGTCCCCCGTCCCCCGTCCCCCGTCCCTCAATCCCCCAATCTCTCAATCCCTCAATCGTTCCTCTTCCAATTACTTATCCCTGTCTTAGATCAGATTTAAGTATAACTATTGTAACAATGTTTAATGTATTTTATTATCATTTACAGAGTATGTGCCAATCCACGAGTACGAAGAGCCAAAGATATCCCTTGAACATATGGAACACGCAGAGACTGTTTCAAGTAAGTAACAAACACAACATACTTAGACATAAAGTAAATACATATGGCTTTGTTTACTCATGGTGGTGTGTATGAACAATTCCAGATTTTATGAGTTCCACATTGAATGTTAAATTACGTAAAGTTTTTTCTATAAAGTTCACTAATTTATCAATGTACGACATATGAATATGACATTTATAAACTTCATTTACATTATTGTTGCAGGTGACAGGTTTATTCCGAGTGAGCTGAGCGACGCCGGCAGCAATAAGTCCTTAATATCAGATAGTAGTGTGCTCTCCATGAACGGAACCATGTCTGATCAATATGACAATCCAGTAAGTGTCTGTTTTGAAATGTTTGTAGGATTTTCTAGCGGACTAGAATGCATTCTCTATAAAATATTGTTAAACTTGCTTTGACCTGCGGCTTCGTTCGCGTCACAAAAGGATAAAATGTAGCCTATGTGACATATACCAATACATACAGCGCCATCTATACCAATACTTTTGTTTTCCCTCGGCAATATCAAATTTCTCCGGGATAAAAAGTACTCTATTACAATTTAATCCGGACTTCTAACTTTACGTCTGCAAAAATTCAAAGCAATCGGTTTAGTAGTTACGGCGTGAAAGCGGAACAAACAAACAAACTCACTTTCCGATTTATAATATTAGTAAGGATAGTAAGGATGGGATAGTCATACTGATTCTCTAATTTGTTTTTATTAATTGACGATTCAAATTGGCAGTAAGCATGGACTTGACATTGATATTGTTAAGTAATAAAACATGTCCAAAACTACATTTAACTGATATAAATGAGTATATGACACAGTAAAACCCTTTACTTACAATTAAAAATTAACTTCCTATGATTCCACTTTCTAGTTCGCCGACAACAAGAGCTCGAACTCGTTGGAGAGTATGAACGGTCTGCCGTACGGGTTGCGCAGCGAGTTGCGCAGCGAGGTGCGGTCGCGCAACAGTGGCAGCGTGTGCGCGGCGCGCGCGCTCGACGACGACGGCGACCTCGCGCCCGCGCCGCGCCTCATGGAGTCCATCGTGTCGCAGGGGAAGACTTACCTCGTCACGCTCACCAAGAAAATTGGCAGCGTAAGTCACTTATTTCTATATTTTTTACATAATATGTTGTTATATTGTAGACAAATGTTGAGTTCTCAGTTCAAACATTTTTTTCATTAAACTGTCAAACACCAAGCGGTCACCGGTGACCGCGACCTATTGTTCTTTAATTGTCTCTATAAAACCGGTACTCGACGAGTTAATGATGACAATGACAATGACAGATGATTCGTCTGCTCGTTTGCCTCCTATACCATAAAAAATATAAATCAACATTCTTAGGCGATTACTATATAAAAATGTATACTTGCAGGGTAACTACGGGCATGTGTTCAAGGGTTGGATGGAGCGCGATAACCAAGAATCTCAACGGAGGGAGGTGGCTGTGAAGAAGTTGACGAGACAGGCCTCCGAGAGGAACGGCGCTCTATACGAGGACTTCAAGAACGAACTGGAAATTATGAAGGTATTTATTGTATTAGTTCTTATTCTTAAACTTAGGAAGTGGTGCCAGGTTAATAAAATAACAAGTTTTGTAGACATCAGTTTTATAATAACCTACATATACGTAGGCGCGGTCCTATAGATACATAGTTTTTTATAGTCCACGAATCATCGCGAGAGCACCTAACTATACTTAAGTGTAATAAAAATCTAATACAATGTTTTTAGAATGGCTCATTTAAGTAGAAAGATGTGATTTTTCGCTTGATTTGACCTAAAAAGAGTGTGTATATGTTTATTTCAGTCGTTACAACACATCAACATAGTTGAAATATTGGGTTATTCGTGGGACCACGGGTCGGACGTGCTCATAGTGATGGAGTATCTAGAGGAGGGCTCTCTAAATTACTACCTCAAGTTCCAGGGGGACAAACTAAGGATCTCACACCTACTCAAGTACGCGAGGGATATTGCTACGGTATGTACTGTAACTTTATTCAAATATGATTTCTTAGAAGAAAAAAAAAATTAGTTTCGATTCCACTGAAAAAAAAAAACATTTCAATACAATAAAAAGTTATTTTTTATATTATCACTAGCTTTTACCCGCGGCTTCGCTCGCATCACAAAAGAATAAAAAGTAGCCTATGTGACATATACCAATACACACAGCGCCATCTATACCAATACTTTTGTTTTTCCTGGGGAATATCAATTTTTTCCGGGTTAAAAAGTACCCTATTATTTAATCCGGACTTCTAACTTTACGTCTGCAAAAATTCAAAGCAATCGGTTGAGTAGTTACGGCGTGAAGGTGGAACAAACAAACAAACAAACAAACTCACTTTCAGATTTATAATATTAGTAAGGATAAGGATTACGTTTTTAATGGCAACAACGCCTTTTTATAGGGTTGTTTGAGTGTCGAAATTCGCAGTAAAATTCCGGAATCTGCAATGTGTCGTGTAGTGTAGAAAAATAGGTTCTTGCTAAATTTATGCCTTTCTCTTCGGGGATTAAAAGGCTCAATATCATGTCATGTTTTATAATTTAAAATTTAAACAAGTCAATGATGAAATTCTTTGTTCGAATCGAGATTTTTATTTGGATAATCTTTTTTTTTCAGGGTATGGACCATGTATCAGCTAAGAACGTGGTACACCGCGATTTAGCCACGCGGAATATTCTAGTCGTGAACAAATACCACGTGAAGATATCGGACTTCGGCCTCGCCAGGATTATACCTAAGGAAGAAAACGCGTACAGACTTAAGACTGAACGGCTACTGCCTATTAATTGGTAAGACTTTTTTGTAACCTATTGTGTTCCGAATAACTTCTTGAAGTGTGACTGTCGTGCAAGGAGGTGCAAGTGAAACAAGTGAATTTATTTCTGCAAAAAGACTATAAGGCAACACTTTTACACGTCAATTTTATCAAGCGAACGATGAGGTCGAGGTTCTATTCTCATATCGACCAGTGTTATTAGAGTTTTGTTTTTTTATTAGTCAATAATAGCACAAAATCTAGAATATTACACCTCCACCTCACTCACTATTACATGGAAATCGTATTATATCATATTATTATATCATTTACCTGTCAATCCCTTCGTGGGTTAAAGGGCATAACTTGTTTAGTCTTAAATTTTTTATTAAAGTTGTGCTACACTAGTACTTTTTCATGTGTCGTGGGTGCGTTTACAAACATATAGGTTCACATACCCAGACCAGGAACAATGATCTGTGGATCACACAAAGATTTGATTCGTGCGAGAATCGAACCCGCGACATGATGCGCGGCAGCCGGGTGCCCAGATACCGAACCAACCGTAAATTATATTCCTCTAGCGTCGTTTCAGTATTAAACTGTCAAACACCAAGCGATTACCGGTGACCGCAACCTTTTTTTGTTCTTTAATTGTGTCTATAATAACGGTAGTCAAAGAGTTAAATTAGTGAGTACACTGCCCATTATTCGTGTCCAGGTACGCCCCCGAGTCGGCGGTGGAGCCGTGGCACTTCTCCACCAAGAGCGACGTGTGGTCGTACGGAGTGACGGCGTGGGAGATATTCACGCGCGCCCGCCAGGAGGTGCCCAAGTTCAACCCCGAGCGGCCGAGGGAACGAGCCTCATGGTTTGTATACTGTTTATTTTGATACAATGCTATTCATATTGAATTTTAGTTGTACGAACTACGAGCTACTTAACCCCCTATTGATTAAAGTAGCCATGATTATAGTCTATAATTATAAGATATATATAAGACTGCCTCGTTTGCGGAGTGGTCGCAAGTGCGACTGCCGGGCGTGGGATCTCGGGTTCGATTCCCGGGTCGGGCAAAGTATTAGGGGTTTTTTTTTAATTCTCAGTAATAGCATAAAGTCTGGAATTGTGCCCGGTATATGGCAATAGGCTCACCCCCTATTATGTGCGACTCATAACATAAATAGTGAAAAGTGGGTGTTACATTGTACAGTGGCATAATGTACACCTCTGCCTACCCCTTCGGGGATAAAAAGCGCGATGTTACGATTATAGTCAAGTCTTTTACAATAAATGGACTGTCTCATTAAAAAATAATTTTCAAATTTGAACCAGCTGTTTCAGAAATAAGCGCAATAATGACGACAATTATGCATTAACTACGACGACAGTTATTGTAAAAAGGCTAAGTTTGCTTATTTATATACTTCTATTGCAGCTTTCAAATACCGGAGGGCTGTCCCTCAGAGATATTCAGGCATCTGATGAAGGACTGCTGGAATTTGGACCCCACCCTACGACCGAAGTTCATCGACCTCGTGCATATGTGCAAGCGATTCATGGACGAATATAAGTAGAACATTGCTTTTGTGTATTTCTTCAATAATGAGCTAGTTATAAGAAAATAAGTTCCTTTTTCTTTTGTTTAAATCTGGAGGCTTAGTATGAATTTGTTTTATGTCTAACGAGATCAAAACGTGACCGTGTACGGCGTTCTGATTGGTTGGTTCATTGGAGCCGGCCAATCAGAGTGCGCGACCCAGTAACGTTTCGATCTTGTTAAACGCAAAGTCGTACTAAGCCTTCTAGTAGTGACTTTGCAGCTTGATATACGATTGTTCGTTAATATAACTTGCCTATACAAATAATTAGTGCGTTATTGAAGAATATATCAAAATGGTCACAATACTATGAGAGAAAAGATTTCAGTATATTGATATATTTTTACGTAAAATAAATGTCGTAATGTTGCGTCTATGTAAAAGGTAAAGTTTTGGATTGAATCTATATTTCTGATGTTTATATCGTTGTATAGTTAGAGGCCATATTTCACACGTTGTCTTTGTTATTATTATTGCGCTATTTGCACAAACGGTACTAGCTAATCGATTGTTTATTAAGTATGTGTTTTTGTGGTTCCTCGAAGCATTTGCCTTAGTTCTGTATAGTAAAGCTACTTGTAAATATTTATACAAATGTTATATCCGTTACACTATGTAATGTATCTCAATCATGTGGAATCTATTATTTGTGTTTTCAGTGCAATCATTGAGTGGACGTCTTATATTCAGTAATGTCTTTTTTGTTATTGTTCTTGTCCTAGTGTTTGTATATTGTATTATTTGACTTGACTATGATTTTGTATCGTTAATTTTGACGTACTTGCCGTGTATTTGTGACTAAATGATGAGTCAATGATAGTGTAAGCAGAGTTATTATAACATTGTGTAAGCAAGCAGTGTAAGTCTCGCTAGTCCAACCATTCTAGAACTGTAATACTGGCACAAATGTTTGAACAAATATTGGCGTTGAATGAATTTGTATGCATTTCAATACTGCAATTAGATGACAACGAAATACTAACACGCACACGTTACGTAGAATGGTCGCCGAGACCGATTCACTATAAAACCAAAGATGATATTAAAATATGAACATTAAACCTAGAGATCAAATAATTTTAAGATTTTATTATCTGTGTACATTTTATTAATTTGCTTTATTGTAAGTTATGCAATTCACTGTTGTGACAAATAAACGTAATTATAATTTTAAGTTAGGTACAAAAATGTAATCGGGTAATGAGAACTAAATGTAATATTATTTTAGAAATTTATTATTGTTTAGATATGATTGGGAAATATTTTATAAAATTGTTTTTTAATTATTAATTTTCGCAACATCGCGTGTCGATGTGTTGAGGAATTGGATTGTGATTACATAGACTGACAAATGGAGTATCGGTGCTATAAGGATGAAATAACGCCTTATTTTTTCTAATGACTGCGTTTGGGTGGAGATGGGAAAGATCTAGGAGTCGATAGTCGTAGAGATTAAGTTCCTACAGAACTATTATAAGATTTATAGAACGAGACGTGAACTTTATTGTGTACCTAATTTTTCTTAAATCAAAATTGCCTATATTTTGTTTTATTGGATGTTTTTTATTATATATTTTATAAAGGTTTTCGAATCAATCAGCTCAATTTTATATGAGAATCGTGCAAGCATAGACGTTTTGTTTGGTTTCACCTGTCTGTTCCTACCATTGTTCTTACAGTGTATTTAATAAAAATTTCGTTGCTTTTTAACGGTCATTTAAAGCACTCAGTTACTTAGCCTTTTCTATACATATCTTTTTGTGTAATAGGAATTCTATACCAATTATGATTTTGTGTGGAAGTTCATAGTAACAGTTTCTCAAGATAAATATTGAACACTGAGTTTGCACTCTACTACGATACGATTATATATTTGATGTGATGTGGTTGTAATATCTGTGTATATCGTATACGCCTGCATTGTAAATTATCCTAATACATAGAATTAGGTAAGTAATCGTCGGGCTTTCCCGTCTTATAAATGTTTTTGCTTAATACGCATAAAATTGATGTCTATCATTCTATTGAACGTGTCAATTTTAAAGTCAATTGTGTAAAATTAACAATAGCAATAATTGGCTAAAATCTAAAATCGATTTTTCATTTTTAAAATGTCCAGCGTATAATGTAGAGTCAATTAAAATCTGTGTGTAATATTTTATCTGTAAGTACTGAGTAGGTTCGATGTGTAGCTAAACTGTGCCTTCACCATGAGGTTAAAGCAATTATTTGCTAATACATAAAGCGCCGACGTAATTTTTATGTACAGCGCCTCTAGCGGTAACTTACGGAACAAATAATTACCATATAAAAAAATGTTCATCGTCACTATCGAGTATCGACAAATACTCGCATTAAACTCATGGTAGAGGTATTAGTCTATGCCCTTAATTATGTACCTTTATGGTATACTTTATATTGTACAGAGCGAAGAATGAAATCTATATAAATAGTGCTATTGTTCTCCAAAGCTCGTGAATGTAATGACGACGGAATTTGACGTTAAATGTGGCGCGGTCTAAGTACTGGATACATGTAAACTTGTTTGAAAATCTAGGAGGCAACTATGTTATAATATTGTAGAATAAAGTTTACATGTAACGAGTATTTTGTTACAAAAGTTAGGTGACAACAACTAATTGAAATACGTTTATAAACATTGTCTTGCCGTAAGATTTTATAAAAAATTGTCGCATGGTCGTCATACTAATCATGAGGCATCCGTTTTATCACGAATATGCTTAAAATGTTGCTGTAAATATTAGTTACATTTTATTAATTAAGTCAAATTTGTTTTATTATAATTTAAGACTAGGATGTGTCGGTGTTCCGTATGATAATGTTCTAAACTGTCCTACGTACTGGCCGGTAACAAATCGGTTTGTTACCGTCATTCATTCGTAATTTAAATTGCATGCAAGAATGTAACAATGTAGCATTCGATGCAAAGTTATTTGTTTTTTAAAAGAACCTTCATTAGGTTCTGGTAACATTTTACATACTTGTTGGTATTTTTATGATTTTAACACTAAAAAAATTTTTACATATAAAGGTAAATTGATACTCCCTTATACCCGGATATTTATAACAAATATTTACTACCGAATATTGGCTTTTAAAGCATTTTAATGATCTGTATAATTGTACATAGATAAAATATTGTGTATATTGTGCGAAACAGCGACACATCCTTGTTATTTTTGCCATGAAATTAAAATAAATTATTGGTACGTGAATATAATTTGCTTTTTAATTTACCTTCCCACTTAACTGCGTCTATATGAGACAATGGTCTCATGGACTTTCAAAGATTACATCACATATAAAATCACTTATTCTATCCCCCAAAGGGTTAGGCAGAGGTTTACAATGCCATATATACCGGACACAATTCCAGACTGCAAGCTACTACTGAGATTTTTTTTAAAAACCTAGTATAACTTTGCCGGACCCCGGAATCGAACCCGAGACCCCATGCCCGGCAGTCACACTTGCGACCACAGACGAGGCAGTCAAATATTACTTTAAAATTTAAAAAAAAAACTGCTATTGCAACAACTTTACTAATAACTATCCTGGAAACGTGTAGGTACTTAACGTTATTTTTAGTTCTGCCTCGTGATCGAGTGGTTGCAAGTGTGACTGTCGAGCAAGGAGTTTGAATTGAATTCATGAATCATCCGTATAATGTGGAATGAACATTAGTATAGTGAATACCTAAAAACATCTGAGGGCTTATTATGAGTTTGTTTTACGTTTAGAGTAATAGTAACGAGACGGTGTTCTGTGCTCTGATTGGTTGGTTTATTGGTGCCGGCCAATCAGAGGCTTTAGTACGAGTTTCTTTTTCGTTTAAAGTTATCGAAACGAGACGGCGTTCTGTGCTCAGAGGCCTAAGTACGAGCTCTGATTGGTTGGTTCATTGGCCAGCCAGCCAATCACAGTGCCGAACGCGTACTCGTTACGAATGCTTTAAACGTAAATGAAACTCGCTAAGGCCTCTGATTGGTTGGTTCATTAGAGCCGGCGAATCACAGCACCGAACGCGTACTCGGTACGATTACTTTAAACGAAAAACGAACTTGTACTAAGGCCTCTGAGGGCCTAGACTGAGTTTGTTTTATTGACGTTAAGCGAAATGTTACCGTGTTTAGCCCACTGATTGGTTGGGTCATTGGAGTAGTTAGACGTGGTTAGAACGTCGAACGCGTTTTCATTTCGAATTCTTTAAACGTAAAACAAATGCATGTTAAGCTCTCTGGTTAATATTATAAGAATAAAATTCCTTTTTTATCTATATAAGTACGTATAGACCACGTGTGGTTGAAAAAAATAATAGAAAACTAAATACTTACAAACTTGTAAAAAAGCATATATACGATCGAATTGAGAACTTATTCTTTTTTTAAGTCGGTTAAAAATAAATAAAAGAGATCTTGATCGAGAATCTTAAATCATTTTAAATTCATTACCTTTGTCGCGTCACTTTGTGAGTAACCATATTACATTTTAATTTTCATTCGCAATTTTTGCGATAATACAATGTAGATGCGCTTCGGACGCGTCCTGAATAGTGAACGAAGCGAGTGCAAAGTAATTGAATCAAGGTAACCGACGACATTTCTCTCTAGACACTTTAATTTCACATTTTTTCTTAACTTTCACCCTAATGGTGTAACTTTGTGCATTGCTGTGAAACACCCACGCTGTAATTTAATAAAAGATTGTCACTGCATTAAGATGTCAACGGAATCGTAGAATTAATAAGATTCTATGGCTTCGGCGATTTAGCGAGTGCGTGGAGTTCTATTTTACATAATATTAACACCAAATAACAATCGCATTCATAAAAAGTATAGCTTTGCATTAATCTTGTTTGAGTCTATTTGGTGTCAAGAACAGTAGGTACCTACCTACGTAAGTATAAAACATTTTTCCTGTACCTAAATGACTTATTTACCTCATAATAATTATCT